TACAGTGGAATCCGGTTATAGCGACACTCAAGGGACCGTCGATTTTACGTCGCTATACCAGGAGGACGCTTTAACCAGAATGTGTAAAATATATATTTTTTTTTCATATTTTTTACGGTTGCCATGTTCGTAATAGCTTTTACTATAAAACAATTTTAATTTTTAATCAAAACAACCATTTTTTATAAACTTATTTCAATAACATGGTTTAGAAACATTTTTGTGACGTCGGCATTGTACTTTGTCTCTCTCCCTCTCTGTCTAAGCAATGTCAATACATACATACATACATTTCTAACAGAGTCTTTTTTAGACTCATTCACGAAGTGAAAGAGTATATTGGTTTTGTGCAAAGTCCGTCTTTCTGTCCGTCCGTCCGTCTGTCCGTCTGTCCGTATGAACGCAATCTATTTCGGCGCTATTGAAGCTAGAGACTTGAAATTTGGAACACATACTCATGTATATCTCCGATTTATAAAGTGTTAAAATTTTCCGCCCACTAGGGGCGTGGCAAATCGGAAAATGCATTTTCCGATATACCAGAAGTCATGTTTGTTGAAGAGCTAGAAATCTGAAATTTGGTATGTAGGTCCGCGTCGACCACCCAAGATCACGAGCTATGGCGGATATATCGCCGCCCATTTAGCGCGTGGCAAATCGGACAAAACTGTATCTCCTAAATTTATAAACTTAGAATGCTGAAATTTTGCACGTAAGCTGATGTTTTAATTCTATAAAGACATATTACAAAATTATTATAAAATTATATATCTACGCCTACTAGGGGCGTGGCAAATCGGACCTGAAGGTATAGTGATTTTTGAATTCGGCTATATTTTGGACACCTTTAATGCTAGAGACCTTGATATATATACTCGGTATATATACTCACCCGAGACCAAAAAGCTTTGTCGGATATATGTCCGTCCACAGGGGGCGTGGCAAACAACAAAAGTTGATATCTCCTAAAGTATAATACCTAGAAGCTTCAAATTTAGATAGTTAAGTTACCAGCCTCATGGGGCGTGGCGTGGCATGTCGAAAAATACCTTGTAATTTTCACATTTTTTGAGGGTAAGTATTCAAACTTTGTAGTTAGGGTACAGTTATCACATTCTAAGAACTGACCAAAAATTAGGTGTCTACGCACAGTAGGGGCGTGGCAAATCGGGAAAAACTGCATTCTATACAGTATTAGAGATAAACTTGGCTGCTAAATTGCTTATGGGATGTGAATGAGTATTCCGCAGTCGGTAATGCCCAACTGAAACGTTCTTGTTTTAAAATGTATTTAACAGGTAGAAGTAGGCGTTGCAGACCCCACAAGGTATATATTTCCTTGATCAGGGTGACGAGCTGAGTCGATTTAGCCCCGTCCGTCTGTTTGTCCGTCCGTCTGTCCGTATGTATGAACGCGTCGATGGGCAATGTTGTATCGGCACGAACTATTCGTCGACGGCTATTAAGCTCGAATCTACCTGGGAGAGTTGCTCGCAGGGTTCCTCTATTGCGTAAATCAAATATTCGGATGAGGCTTAATTTGGCTCAAACTCACAAGGCCTGGTGTGGTTTAGAGGGAGAGTGTAAATGGAGGAACATTCTCTGGAGTGATGAAACAAAAAAAAATTTATTTGAGAACGACTCAAATATAAATGTTCGAATACCTAAAAGGCAAAGAATTGGATCCTAGATATACAAAAAAGACGGTTAAGCACGGAGGAGGCGGCATAATGGTTTGGGACTGCTTTTCATGGCATGGTTTTGAATTGGACCATCGACCATTTTCATAATGGACAGATTCCTGTAAAAGGAACTATTGAGTAGTGTTATGCTACCATATACCCACGACAACATACCTCTAAAATAGAAATTCCAACAGGATAACGATCCTAAATAGGACTCCCCAGTAGTTAAAGATTGGTTTCATGAAAATATAATTGAAGTTTATGAGTGGCCAAGGTAGTCTCCAGATCTCAATCCAATTGAGAACCTTTGGGGACACCTGAATAGGCGAATTTCCAAGACTACCTGCTTCAATTACACCCAATTATTGGAAAATATTCAGGAGGAATGGAACACCATTCCTGTGGAAAGGTGTATAAAGTTAATATCCTCTATGCCGCAAAGAATCAGTCCGTCTGTCCGTCTGTCTGACCGTCCGTCCGTATGTATAAACGCGTCGATCTCAGAAGATATAAGAGCTAGGGACTTGAAATTTTTTTTCCTGGGTCCGTGTATGTCACGCGCATATCAAGTTTTTCTCTATATATCGATAACTACTCTCGATATTTTATTATCGATCAAAATCCTTATCGAAAGCTAATTATTTAATTATATCTCCTACACCTTTAAAGCTAGAGTTTCGAAATGTATTGTATTTTAAATGTAGACTTATATGTATTTTATATAATTTCGGTTTTTGTTGTAATTTACCCCCCACCATTATATCCATCCCCTCACCATCACCTTTGTAAAAGGCGTATTTCAAGTACTAGAGACTTGTGCTTTGGCATGTACATACATTACAACATTATTATTATGTTCTGAAAGTTTCATTGAGATTGTACGTCTAGAAATTAAATTATTCAACAAATAAATTCTTATAATATTGCCCACACTGCAGCGCAGCCCAAGCGCAGTCGCTGCTTACTGCGCAGTTAGCAGATCGCGTTATAATACGTTCGTTTGTATGTATGTTTGCCGAAAAGAAGTGCAGAGTGATTAGAATATCAAATTAGAAGGTTCAGGGTATCTCCTAGTCGAGCAGTCTCGACTAGAGTTTTCTTACTTGTTCATTCTTTTTTTTTAATTTGCTGGGTACACCTATTAATCTGGCCAGCAAAAATGTGAGTTTTTTGTGAAGTATGCCAAAATTATGCTAAAAATTATTATTTTTTAAGCTTGTTATACCCTGAACCCATTTTCAATGGTAAATCAGGGTATAATGGTTTTGTTATACCCTGAACCCATTTTCAATGGGAAATCAGGGTATAATGGTTTTGTTGAAATGTATATAACAGGCAGAAGGAGGCGTGGCAGACCCCACAAAGTATATATATTCTTGATCAGGGCGACGAGCTGAGTCGATTTGGCCCTGTCCGTCTGTCTGTCTGTCCGTCTGTCCGTATGTTTGAACGCGTCGATTTCCGAAGATATAAGAGCTAGAGACTTGAATTTTTTTTTTAATGACCGTATATACAGCGCGGATGCCGAGTTTGCTTTTAAAATTCGATAAATCATCCCGTTATGTTTTTATCGAATAAAAACATTCAAGTTCAAGTCAGATGCCACTATAGCTAATTGTGAATGATTTTTCATTTTTTTAAATTTCTCAAATATTCAATATAATATTTAGATCATATGCTGAAAGTTTCATTAAATTCTGTTCAGTCAAAAATTAATTACAAATCATCAAATATTTGGCCAATTAACAAACGCACGTGCAGCAGCTACAACAGCATCGTATACGTGTGCACACATACATTCAAACTTCTTCTGGAACATTCTTTGAATCACATCAGCTGTTAGTTTGGTTTAATTTTGCTAGATGGCGCTGAAGCAGTGAATCTATTTGAGTTTTGCCAGCGCCGATTCCAAAAGTGAAGTGGCGTAGTGTGTTAGCTGCATAACGCTCGATTGAGAAGTCCCGGTTCGAATCCCGATCGGTGCAACTAATGTTAATTTTTTTAATTGTTTCAAAATATTTTTATATTTTCATAAATGAGTTTTCTATTTAATTTATATTTTTAAATACACCGAAATTGAAATTTTAACCATACTAAATGTGCGTTTTTAAAAGTTTGGTTATTCTAGCAGATTCTTAGAATCACATCGGCAGTTAGTTCGGTTTAGTTTGAGGTGGCGTAGTGTGTTAGCTGCATGACGCTCGATTGAGAAGTCGCGGTTCGAATCCTGATCGGTGCATCTGATCAAATATTTGATCAAAATATTTTAATATTTTTATAAATGAGTTTTCTATTTAATTCATATTTTTAAATACATCGAAATTGAAATTTTAGCCATACTAAATGAGCATTTTTATTAGTTGGGTTCAGGGTAGTATCTAGTCGAGCACTCTCGACTAGAGTTTTCTTACTTGTCTCCAAATTTTTTATGTATGCTTATATGCAATTTATGCAACAAGTTATTAAACAATTAAGTTTAAGTTTAAGTTTGCAAGCGCACACTGCAATCCATGCGTGTTTATGCGTGGGTGTTTGTGTGTGTATGTGTTTGTGTGTGCGTATGTGTGTGTGTGTGTGTGCGTGCGTGTTTCTTGTGTAAGCTGAAAGACGCGAAAAACTATTGAAATAGCTATTGCTCCAAGGGTTCAGGGGTCTCGTAGTCGAGCACTCTCGAAATTTGGAGACTAGCAATGAAGGTGTAGGAGATATAATTTTATAACTGGTTTTCGATAAGGGGATGAGTTTTTAATGATAAACTTGATATCCGCGCTGTAATTACGGACATTTAAAAAAAATTTGAAGTCTCTAGCTCTTATATCTTCTGAAATCGACGCGTTCATACATACGGACAGACGGACAGACGGACAGACGGACGGATAGACAGACGGACAGGGCCAAATCGACTCAGCTCGTCGCCCTGATCAAGAATATATATACTTTGTGGGGTCTGCCACGCCTCCTTCTGCCTGTTACATACATTTCAACAAAACCATTATACCCTGATTTCCCATTGAAAATGGGTTCAGGGTATAAAAACAAGACAGTGAGACAGCAAGCACTATCAAGTACCGAGTGTCTCGTTTAGCGTTTCAAATGTATTCGTGCAGGCCTCTAATTGCGACCCAAACAACTTCGTATTTGCTCGGCTCCTCATTTTTAAGGGCTACGAAAATTTGCGAAAGCAAATCCCGACTCTAGAGAATTTCCCATATATTGTTATAGTATTTTAGTTTAGTGTAGTAGTGAAAGAAATGATTGCAATATAAATGATTCAAAAAACTCCTTTATTGTTTTTTTGTTTTATAAACATTAAAATATATTTCATATTCCCTTTATTTATTTCATTAAGCGTTATTATACATTATTATACGTGTTCATCTTAATATTTCATCTTTATTATGCAAGACATTACATTCTTATAAATAAAAAAGTTTTTCCGATAAGTTGCTTGCAATATCCCGTTGAACACTTTGACCAATCAAGTATGCCAGCTTATGGGCGTACTAAATAAATAAAATAATAAACAGAACAAAATTATTTGGATTATAAATAATAGATTATAAAATAGGTTTGAATGCGATATTAAGACTTAATAGATTTAAAAAAAAAAAAAATTTACTCAGGGCCGATTGAGAGGAGGGATTCAAATATTTTAAGCAGACTTATATTAAAGACAATTTTTTAATGTATAGATGTATGGAATCTATTGTAAATGGATGTATTATCGAAGATCACGTCAGGTATGGCAGCAAAGTTACTATGAATGGTATGTACATATATAATTATTGCAAACGAAACCACATATCAAAGCAAATCAATAATCGAGAATTTGAAGACCATGAATTCATTAAAAACTTATATAGAGTATGTCAACCTAAGTAAAAATAACAAAAAGGTAAAATAACATTAACAGTAAAGAATATTGTTTTTCTTAAGAATGAATTCCATGCGAATTAAACTTGGTAGAGTTTCCTACATCTTTAATTTAATTTAATTTCTAATTTCTGTGTTATATACTTGCAATTGGGTGACACTAATAACGTAAAACTTACCATACAACACGCAGGAACCCGAACTGTTCCAGGCCAGTTATAATACAAGTAACATAGTTTATAACTTAATTTTTGTATAATATCAGGTCCATAATTAGCATCGTCACGTAGTACAATGAAATGCGTTGGGCTCACTGTACCTTGGCGAACTGATTGTGAAACCAAAAAGAAATCGTACATGTCTGATCTAGTGATGTATTTATCAACTACTGTCCCCGGCAACGGATTTTCATAAGTGTTTTCGTTATTCTGCAAGTTTAAATTTATTATTTCAGCTGGCATTATTAGAATGTTGCTAGTGCCTAAGTTAGAGTTTTTAATAGAAGATATATATCCTTATTTAACAATAAGTCTATGAAAATAATATATTTATTTTTATTTGTGCAAAACAGTTTTGAAGGTGACCAGCACACAATTTACAAAATACGCGACGAGCATCATAAATCTTCCCAAATTGTTTTAATTTGAAGGACCTTTGACTGGGAAATTTATAATTATATTAATTAATAAATTGAATCCATAACCATTAGAAAAGTTGACATTCTAATCGTTCTGCACTTCATTTACGTATGAAGATTATATGGTATTTACGTATGAAGTTTATATGTCAATTTATTGTTCTTAACCCAATATAGTTAGCTAAAGTTAATGCTCTTCCGCAATATTAATTAATAAAATTCTGTTGCATCCACAAACGATCAACTGTAATAACTTCCAACCAACTGGGAAAATATGAACACGATTCGCATTCACAACAAAAGATGATAGGTGGCATATATATTGTGGCATATATTTATAAACTAATTGCAACCATTGGAGATTCTCACTTTAAATACGTTTAAAAAGTTAATTAATTTGAGAATAGTTGTCGATTCATGTAGTTCATACATTCAAGTATTCATGTTTATAGCGACTTGCAAAATTTTTAAATTTTGTAGCTCTTATAACTTTTGAAATCGGACAGATGGACAGGCGGACATGACTCGAATATGTGAGTTGAAGTTAGGTTTATATTTCAACGGAAAATTGTTTCGGGATATTTCCAGTTTAATATACATATTTCTAAACATAAATTTGGACTTTTATACCCTGAACTTATTGGAAATGGGAAATGGGATATCAGGGTATAATGGTTTTCTGAAAATCATCGCAGACCCCTTAAAGTATATATGTATTAGACGTCTGCATGAATGGCAAAAAAAGCACATTCAACTGTACAAAGTCATCATTGAATTGAGTGAAAACTTGTACAAAACGAAATGAGAATGAGTGAGCGACTGAAGTCGTGTTTCTCTCGGCTGCACAAAAATATAGCCGAAAAGAAACGAAGTGAGTGAGTGAGCAGCAGAAGCTTTTAAATGTTGTATATTGAATACATTCGAATATTGTCAGCTGTTTTCTGCTGTGTGTGTTATCTGTTAAAAGAAAGAGGGAAAAATAAAGAAATATGTGTGCAATGCGTTTTTTGTTGTGGAATTTTTAACTTATATATTTATTACAAATAATTAATTAATAATATTCGAATTTAAAAACATAATTTTATTAATGCTATCAGGGTTGGAAGCTATTGAACATCGCTTTTCTGTAATTAAATTTCTTGCAATTGAAAACGTTCTCTCAGAAGCTGCGCTGCTGGCTGGAATACAAAATATTTGGCAGCTTGTTTTATACATTTTGTTAGTAAAACTAAAACACAAGCTTTAAACAAAACAAAACACAAAAACTGGTATTTGCCGAAAAATACATACATTTTTTCCTGCAGCTTCCGCTTCCATTTCACACGTCTGCTCACAATTTCTCAAAGCACAAAATGAATACACAAAATATTCTTCGAACTACTTGAGTAGTTCGAATGTTTTCGAAGTTTTCATTTCACTTTGCTCTTCTTTCGTTATACTCAGTCATTCGGCATGAGACACAACATGTTCGTCTCGCGAAACAGTAGTATACACATTCGTCTCATTCTGTCCTTTTCACTCACTCATATTCTACTCAATTCGAATGTACTCAATGTGGCTTTGTTATGAATGTAATCATGCAGACGTCTAATATGTATATGTATATATATATACATATATACTTTAATATATATATATATATATATATACATACTTGTGTATACCATACGCTGTACAAGTTTATCATATTTTTTCGATAACTCATCCAATTTTTTTTGATCGAGAATAAATTGATTTTGTCTTTTCAGCCCAAGCGCAGTCGCCGCTTACTGCGCAGTTAGCAGTGTGCGTACTTATACGTATGTGGGATGCATTTGTATGTATGTGTGCATAAAAGAAGTGCAGAATGATTAGAATATCAGCTTGGTGGATTCAGGCTCCCAACGAGCAGTCTCGATTAGAGCCCTCTTACCTGTTTAAATTTCATTGACATTTATTTTTTTTACTTACCAAAAAATATCTAGTATTATTTCGTTTTTGAATTACTAAAAAAGTGATTTTCATATTTTTACCGCAAACTCTTTCGAACTGCGGAATTTCGTACATGACACACGAATTTAATTGACCATCTCCAACTCCATCTCTGAAAATAATTTAAAATTATTGATGGTTATTAAATTTTCTGAGAGGCTGTCACATTAACCAGAGAGCGAGCAAACGGTAAGCATATGTGTTAGCTGAAAGTATACATCTTTAAAATATGCGTATTTCGTAAAGACGAAGGACAGGCAGTTCCCCATACGTATATAACAAAAATCATTCGGAGACTATCTGGTTTTTGATAAGATTTTTAATCTATAAAACTAAAGCGAAAATATATTTTGTTTTTTTTGCATATAAGAGGAATTTAGTTGCAATGTATTGAGTTTCTACATACATACACTTGCTCGCAGAACTCTGCGTACACTTGCAAACAAACCCATATTTTTAAGTTTACATGTATATTGTATTTAATATAGAAGACTTCAGGCAATACTACTTTTTGTATAACAATTTTCATTTATTTATTAACATAGTTATGTTTTGATTTTATTATTAAAACTAAACCTAATATTAAAAAAAAATTATATATTATATTATAGGACTTGCCTTCTAACCTATATTTTAATATAAGCTTACGAACTTCTACCGATATTTCTTTTCCTTTTTCCCTTTTTGCTCCATGATGAAACGCCAAATTTGTTTTCAAAGTGATAGCAAATTACGCAAATCAGCGAAGAGGAATTAAAGAAACATGTAAAAACTAACGGTGATCGTGAATTCCAGCGCTGTACGCAGACTTTTGAGGTGTCATTTTTTGGTTATGTTTTTTTGTTTATAATTTTTTTTAATATTAGGTTTAGTTTTAATAATAAAATCAAAACATAACAAGTAAGAAAACTCTAGTCGAGAGTGCTCGACAAGATACTACCCTGAACCCAACTAATAAAAATGCCCATTTAGTATGGCTAAAATTTCAATTTCGATGTATTTAAAAATATAAATGAAAAATACAAAACTCACTTAATAAAATATAAAAATATTTTGAGCCAATTAAAAAAATTAACATAAGTTGCACCGCTCGGGATTCGAACCCGCGACTTCTCGATCAAGCGTCAAAACTCAAATAGATTCACTGCTGCAGCGCCATCTAGCAAAACTAAACCAAACTAACTGCCGATGTGATTCTAAGAATCTGATGGAATAACCAAACTTTTAAAAACGCACATTTAGTATGGTTAAAATTTCAATTTCGGTGTATTTAAAAATATAAATTAAATAGAAAACTCATTTATGAAAATATAAAAATATTTTGAAACAATTAAAAAAATTAACATTAGTTGCTCGATCGGGATTCCAACCGGGACTTCTCGATCGAGCGTTATGCAGCTAACACACTACGCCACTTCACTTTTGGAATCGGCGCTGGCAAAACTCAAATAGATTCACTGCTTCAGCGCCATCTAGCAAAATTAAACCAAACTAACAGCTGATGTGATTCAAAGAATGTTCCAGAAGAAGTTTGAATGTATGTGTATGTATACGATGCTGTAGTAGCTGAAAGTTTCATTAAATTCCATTCAGTCAAAAATTAATTAAAAATCATCAATTATTTGGCAAATCAACAAACGCACGTGCAGTTTGTTGATTTGCCAAATAATTGATGATTTTTAATTAATTTTTGACTGAATGGAATTTAATGAAACTTTCAGCATATGATCTACATATTATATCGAATATTTGAGAAATTTAAAAAAATGAAAGATCATTCACAATTAGCTGTAGTGGCATCTGACTTGAACTTGAATGTTTTTATTCGCTAAAAACATAACGGGATGATTTATCGAATTTTAAAAGCAAACTTGACATCCGCGCTGTATATACGGTCATTAAAAAAAATTCAAGTCTCTAACTCTTATATCTTCGGAAATCGACGCGTTCAAACATACGGACATACGGACGGACGGACAGACGGACAGGGCCACATCAACTCAGCTCGTCGCCCTGATCAAGTATATATATATTTCGTGGGGTCTGCCGCGCCTCCTTCTGCCTGTTACATACATTTCAACAAAACCATTATACCCTGATTTCCCATTGAAAATGGGTTCAGGGTATAATTATGTTAATAAATAAATGAAAATTGTTATACAAATAGAAGTATTGCCTTAAGTCTTCTATATTAAATACAATATACATGTAAACTTAAAAATATGGTTTTGTTTGCAAGTGTACGCAGAGTTCTGCGAGCATGTGTACATAAAAAACAGTATTTTCGTAGACACATTATTTATGGCTAGAACGTACCGGTAAAATTTCAAATCTCTAGTATCAATAGTTCTTAAAATATAGCAGATTTTGAAAAATCACTATACCTTCAGATAGCTTTATAGCTTTAAAACTGTAGGAGATAAGAAATATCCGCCATAGCTTTTTGATCTTGGGTGGTCAACCCCAGAATATGAACCGAATTTCATGTCTCTAGCTGCAATAACGCCGAAAAAATTGCGTTCATGCTGACAGACAGGGCTAAATTGACTCAGTTCGTCGCCCTGATCAAGAATATATGTATATAGTTTATGGGGTCTGCGACGCCTCATTCCGTCTCTTACACACATTTCAACAAAGCTATTATATGCTGATTTCCCATTAAAAATAAAATATTTCATTCATACCTGTAAATAATTACTTTGTCTGGAAGCTGACCATTTCGGGTCTTATAGCTCTCTAGAGCAGCTTCAAAAGATGATGTAAGTCCATTAACAAGTTCTTCCTTTTTAGATTGAATTACAGCTTTGCTATACCAATGTGTATAGGATGAGTTTAAAGAAGCTACAAGTGCTATAATAATAAATTAGGTAATATGGGCATAATAATTCAGTTATAGCATAATTATAAAAACATACCAGCCACAGAGTTGCCCTTTTGATTCGGATCATGATAAGAGTCTATTCCACAGATCATTACATTCTTGAAGGGTATTTTTACGGTCCACAATGATCCTCCAATTTTACAATTTATTTGTAAAATAATTTTTTGAACAATTGATCGATTTTTTGTTTCGTTGAATAGTGTTCTTGAGTTTATAACCTTGATTAAATTATTGAAATACTTTATTATGATATATACATATATAATTTATGTTGGTAGCTTTACTTGATAAATCACATCTCATCCAATATGAAAATGTGAGTGCAGCCTAACTGTTCGAAGAACAAGCAAGAGTTCGGCTTGTAGACACACAAAACTCATAAATTTAAGAGGTTATTTGTATGTAAGATATGATAAACCTATAAGGTGTGCGAAATAAACTACTCGGACAAACACTTAACACATATTTTCCATAAAAAAACATTCTTTGTTATCTTTCGGTTGTAGTGTGCTTGAACGTTGAGCAAAAGAATTACGCAAGGTTTTCCCGATATGTTCATTATTAGAAGCCTAAATTGAGTTTTGAACCTAAGAAAGTTGCTGGGACAAATTACTTTGCTTACATTTGTGGTTAGATAACCACATGCCATTTGAACTTTTAATAAGGAATTGTGTTTAAACTATTTAAACAAATAAAAACATGTAAGAAGGCTCCAGTCGAGACTGCTCGACTGGGAGCTACCCTGAGCCTTCTAAGCTGATATTCTACTCATCCTGCACTTCTTTTATGCACACATGCATACACATGCATCCACACGCACGCATAATCACGTGCTCTGCTAACTGCGCAGCTAGCAGCGACTCCGCTTGGTCTGCGCTGCAGTGTGGGCAATATTATGAGATTTATTTGTTGAATAATTTCTTTTGTAGACATACGATCTTAATGAAACTTTCAAAGCGTTATCATATGGTAAAAATGTGTGTACATTCCAAAGCAAAGTCTCTAGTACTTGAAATACGTTTTTTACAACTTGGGGGCGAAGGGCGCGTGGTATCCAAAATCGGTAAATTACATTCCATTAACTTTATATACAACGCAAATTTGAAGTCTCCAGGTCTAAAAGTGTTAAAATTAAGCTGAAAAAACAATGTCGATTTTTCGATTATTTTCGATAAAAAGTTAACGGATGAGTTATCGAAAAAATATGATAAACTTGTACTGCCTATGGTATACACGAGTATGCATACCAAATTTCAGCTCTCTAGCTCTTATATCTTCTGAGATTCTTTTGCTCATACGGACCGACGGACAGGGCTATATCGACTCAGCTCGTCGTCCTGATCAATAATATATATACTTTATGGGGTCTGCGATGATTCCTTCTGCCTGTTACATACTTTTCACAAAACCATTATCCCCTGATTTCCCATTTTCAATGAGTTCAGGGTATAACAAGTATGAAAGCTCTAGTCGAGACTGCTCGACTACGAGATCCCCTGAACCCTTCGAGCAACTGATATTTTCTTGTGGACGGACTATCTTCAAGAAACTTTCAGATTATGAATACAACATAGATATGCATGTATTTGCCAAAGCACACGTCCCTAGTATTTGAAATACGCCTTTTACAAATGTGAGGGTGAGGGGGTGAATTAGAGATGGCGGGTAAATTTTGACAAAAATCGAAATTGTATAAAATGCATATAAGTACATAAAAAATTTGGAGTCGTCTAGCTTTAAAGATGTAGCAGATATAAATTTATTACTGGTTTTCGATAATGTTTTTAATCGATAACAAAATAACGGGGCAAGTTATCGATAAAACCAAAACCATTATACCCTGATTTCCCATTGAAAATGGGTTCAGGGTATAAAAATGCCATTATTGAAGAATGGCAAAAATTTGACATCCAAATGCTCTAAAACCCCATTAATTGAATGCCAAGCGACTTATGAAAGTGTTGAAGATCAAAGGGAGCACTATTTTAAGTAATGTATAGTTTAATCAGAATTCTATTGATTTTTCTTGATTTGTTAATGTTTTAAGATACGAAGTATGGATTTGCCCCAGTGACTTATTTCGTTTTAAAATTGCATTATACTTTTGTGAAATTTTTTTTTTATACCCTGAACCCATTGAAAATGGGAAATCAGGGTATAATGGTTTTGTGAAAAGTATGTAACAGGCAGAAGGAATCATCGCAGACCCCATAAAGTATATATATTCTTGATCAGGACGACGAGCTGAGTCGATATAGCCCTGTCCGTCTGTCCGTCCGTCCGTCCGTATGAGCAAAAGGATCTCAGAAGATATAAGAGCTAGAGAGCTGAAATTTGGCATGCATACTCGTGTATACCATAGGCAGTACGAGTTTGCTTTATTTTTTCGATAACTCGTCCGATAACTTTTTTATCGCGAATAATCGAAAAATCGGCATTGATTTTTCAGCCTAATTTGAACATTTTTAAACCTGGAGTCTTTAAATTTGCGTTGTATATAAAGTTATCCGATACAAAAATTTTGTAATTTACAGATTTTGGATACCACGCCCCCTTCTCCCCCAATTTGTAAAAAACGCATTTCAAATACTAGAGACTTGTGCTTTGGAATGTGCACACATATTTACCATATGATTTCGCTCTGAAAGTTTCATTAAGATCGAAGGTCTACAAAAGAAATTATTCAACAAATAAATTTTCATAATATTGCCCACACTGCAGCGCAGCCCAAGCGCAGCCGCTGCTTACTGCGCAGTTTACAGAGCGCGTGCTTATAAGTGCATGTGTATGTATGTGTGCATAAAAGAAGTGCAGAATGATTAGAATATCAGCTTGGAGGGTTCAGGGTATCTCCTAGTCGAGCAGTCTCGACTGGAGCCTTCTTACTTGTTTTTGATTGGTTCAATTTTTATAGTGAAAAATTTAGTGTCCCAGTTATTTTGCATACCTTACAGTGATTCAAAGGTTATTTTAAGCAGCACTCAAAGAAATTTTGCAGCTGCAACATTTAAGCTAATATGCAAGTTGTATGTTGTTTTAACTGATAAGGAATAAGCTCATTTATTCTTCAAATATTTATTTTAGCCACTTACTTTGCTACTGAGATCCATTAAGGAAAATTTAAATTCTATATAATACACATGAATCTATGTATATTTAATATTTGAATACATTAATTCTAAAGATGTAGGGTACAAAATTTGTAAACTGATTTTCGGAAAGGCAATTGGTTAATGGAAACAAACTCGATCTGTGCGGGCAATATACGGCGTCTCTGTCTCTGTGTTATATCTGAGATCGACGCGTTCACACATACGGACAGGGCTAAATCGACTCAGATCGTCGCCTTAATCAGGAATAGATTTATATACGTTGTGGGGTCTGTCGCCTTCTTCTGCTACATAAATTTTCACAAAAACATTATACCCTGATTTCCAATTATTAATGATGATATAATTGTGGAATTACGAAGCTAGCTTTATTCTTCGAGTTAATGTCAAAGCGTCAAACATGTTTATAACCCATTGAAAAAGGGATAAACATACTGTAGAGGATATATGTATATATGTACATCCTCTACAGTATATACAGTGAGAAACATTAGTATTAGGTTTTTATTTTTTCTTTTTCAACTTTAAAGGCCCATAAAATATAAAATCTTCGTTGAAATTAAAAAAGTAAAAATGATAAATTGTAGATTGAAAACTTACCTTTCCGGTGATGTATATATCAATATAGTGGATTTAGTGTAACTAACAAAAATTGTACATACACCGAAAACACACAAAATTTGGCGTTAGTTCAATATTCGGGGTTTAATTTAACAACCAATTTTTTTTCCGATTGATTTTTGATTTTTTGATTTTTGTTAGTTACACTAAATCCATTATATTGATACATACGTCATCGGAAAAGTACATTTTCAATCTACAATTTAGCATTTTCACTTTTTTAATTTCATGTTTTCTGGGCGTTTGAAGTTGAAAAATAAAAAAAACCTGTATACATGAGATATAGTGTGTAATGTATATATATCGAAAATTAACTTTAAAAGTATATCTCCTAAATCTTCAGAGCTGGAGTCTCCAAATTTATTATATTATAGATTCATGTCTATTTTATAGAATTTATTTTTTGTTAATTTACCATACCTTACCTTTTGTATTTATTTTCAAACAAAATTAACCATATTCATATGTATTACCTGTGAAGCGACTGGTATCTCAGAACAGCATATTTTTTTAATAACACTATATCTGTCATCTCTGCTAGTGGGACATATACACACGACTATTTGAGTTTTAGCACAAATGTTTCGACGTAAAGCATCGACATATGTGTCTATTCGATCATGTTCTAAAATAATGACATTCGGCTTACATATGTTCATTCCGAAGACATCACTGCAATTTTTCATATTATGTAAAAATGATTTAGCAGCTTTTAAATCATTTTTGTGATAAATCAAGACCCAACTGTTTAAATTTATAACTTCCAGCAATTCGTTTCTTACGGCATCTTTGGAAAATTCTGCATTATGTCCGGCTGAAATACAATGCTTTGCGAAATAAATTTGTACCGAATCTATTTTCCGACCGACTATATTATGGTAGTTTTTATGTAGTGACAATCCCCAATTTTCAAGGATTTCTCGAGCCTCATCGTTTTCTGTGACATTTTTAAAGTATTTATCCAGCGCTAGCATACGATTATTCGGTGTTACATTGGTGACAGTTGCAATCTCACGCATTAGTTTTTTGTCGGCCCGAATTTCATCGTGGAGTCCGGTAAGATAACAAAGTTCCGGAATTAAGCAAAATCGTACGTTTCCTTTATTCGAGGTGTCATTTTTTCTTGACTGCTTTAAGCTAATGAGTAATGGTTGTTTGCCATCTTTAATTGTTATATTATGGTTATTTTTGTAGTAGTCAATGTAACTGCAAAATCCAGTTCTTGTTTCAAATTCTGAATACGGATTTTGAGAAAAGCATATATCGTCAATTCTGTACGTCCGATTATTATAGCGAGTTATTATTACACTTCCAATCAAGTACTTTTTTGCTTTGTCTTGATAGTTGGCTTTGCAGTGTTGATAGATCTCTATTAGCATATCCAATACCGTTTTTTGACAAAGCAAACGATGGGATACATCACAGCAAAGCATTAAACCACCGTCGTATTCATCGACAGCAGTTACGTAACCTGGCCAAACTTCGAGCTTGGCTGTTGGAATCACTTTCGGACGGGAGGGATCGAATTGCTTTCTATCGAATTTAACATAATTTAGGGTTTTCATGATTCGATCAAATAATATATTGTATAATTGTATACAATTTTTAAGGGACTCTCTTTTCTTGAATAAAATTCTAATTTCGATGTCTTCGTTGGAAGGGCCTTTTGAAATAAAAGTTGTCAATTCCCTTTCTAACATAATCGGCAAGTATAGGGTTGTTCCATCAAAGGTTTTAATGCCTCCGAATTGTTTACTGTGTTCATTCAAGTACTTCATTCTTAGATAAATTGAATCAACAGAAGGATTGAATCGTACTTCATACAGATAGACTCCCTTCTTCGGATCAGACTTTAGACCTATATAATTACATGACAGATTAACCAGAGAACCTGCGGAAGAAAAAAAAATAATTAGTCATCTTCAGAAAAGTTCCAAAACACAACAAGTAAAGGTGCTTTAGTCGAGACTGCTCGAATAGGAAATACAATGAACCCTCCAAGCTGATATTCTGATGTGCACATCTTTTAAGCACACATACATTCACATGAATCCACAGGTACGTATAAGCCCGCACTGTGCTAACTGCGCAGCAAGCAGCGACTGCGCATGGGCAATATTATGAGAATTTATTTGTTGAATAATATCTTTTTTAGTTAATTATGGTTAATTATGTGTGTACACACAAGCACAAGTCTATGTCTATATGTCAAACTTGTACTGCGAATGGTATACACGAGTCTACATGCCAAATTTCAGCTTCTAGCTCTTATAACCTCTGAGATCTAGATGATCATACGGACGGACGGACGGACAGGCGGACATAGCTATTACGACTCAGCTCATCGCCCTGATCAAGAATATATATACTTTACGGGGCCTGCGATGACCCCTTCTGCCTGTTACATACTTGTCACACTACAACTATTATACCCTGATTTTCCATTTTCAATAGGTTCAGGGTATAAAAACGAAATTGAGGAGCCCTAAAAGGGAATAAGTGAGTGATAGACAAAAACTTCTTGAACGCTTCTAAGAATTGATATTTTAATAATTATTCGCGTATTTCTGCGGACAGGGCTAAATCAACTCAGCTCGTTGACCTGATCAAGAATATATATACTTTATGGGGTCTGCCACGCCTCCTTCTGCCTGTTACATACATTTCAACAAAACCATAATACCCTGATTTCCCATTTTAATGGGTTCAGGGTATAAAGATGCCAAACCGTAAAGGCATTAATTCACTAGAATTTTTGAAAAATTCTCTACTTCGTATATGCTCAGCTCGGTAGCTTGAGACCCGAGCAGTGAAAATATGTCACGACAAAATCAGTGCGCTGCCAACGCTCAAGCATTCTTAAGCATCATGTTACTTTCACTTACTGTTTGTGTCCCTATTCTTTCCCTATTGTGCGCAAAAGCAGTTGTGCAGAAAAATTTAAATCGGTCGGCGACGATTTCTTTTACTTGCTGTTTACGACTTCATAATTATTTGTGGGAAGGATATGAAAGCGTATAAATATAAGCACTATTTGGCTGCGGGCTTGAACTTGGAGCTTAACACATAATACATGCTGCGCGCACACTACCATCTTAAGCGTTAGACCATAGATTTAGGAGAGCAGTTGCACATACAATACAATAGACGCTGCAAAACAAAGGACTATTCAATTGCTATTGCAATTTCTGGAACACAATATATAAAGAATGTATAAGAAAACATCGTAACCGATGCCCATTTACCAAGCGTTCAATTTAATTACTTGAGAGTCATTTCATATCTGTCAATTTAGTAAATATCTTTCACATATTGTGTTCACACATGAACATATGAATATACGAAGATCGTATACATGCCTCCGACGCACTCTACGACTAGCAGGTAGTGCGCTGGGAAAAGATAAGGGTCACATGTACGGACTGTATAAATAGGCAACCCCAGAGTCAGATATGTAAGAGACAAACACTGAGCCTTACAACCTCAGCGATAGGATAAGAATAGCTAATAGACCCACGCGGAGCCTTACAAACTCAGCGATAAGATAAGAATATGTAATAGACCAATGCTGAGCCTTACACACTCAGCAATAGACGCACTAGATTTAATGGTTGAAATTATGCATGAGTCTGGGTATATAAACCCAGGCTCAGAAGAATAAAGATCAATACAAAACTAAACACCATCATAGTCAAGTGTATTCGTTCATATTGGCATTGCAATTTCATGATTCTTTTCATTTCACTGCTGTCTAAAATTTGGGTTCTCTATTTAAACTATTTGGCGACTATAGCTTTATAACAGATTATCGATAGCAAAATAACGGAAAAGTTATCGTTTTCTGAACAAAAAATCTATATACGATATTTCAAGTCTGTAGCTCTAATATCTTATGAGATCGTCGCATTCATACGGACAGACGGACGAATCAGCTTGGTGCCCTGATCAAGAATATATATACTTTATGGGGTCTGTCACGCCTCCTTCTGCCTGTTCACAAAACCATTATACCCTGATTTCCCATTTTCAATGGGTCTAATGTATAAAAAGGAGCATATCAAGATTTGCGCTTAAAAGCCTTGTTCGCCTTTCATTTAAAATTTTTCCAGAAGAGGAGAATACTCGTTCGCTTGTTGCACAGCTTACCGGAATACATAAAATATTTTTGCCACAATTTAAGGTCCGTTGCCTCCTGCCAAAAATCTAAGATTGACAAGTTTGAATTATACCGTGTGGCATAATATTTATCAATATCTAAGTCAATTGCATTTTTGCCAGGTTCGTCAAGTTTTTGTTTGAATCATTTTGCATAACATAAATTTCAACCATCATGCTTTTGACGGTCTCCAAAATATGCTTTTTCGGGTAAAACGGGTTGAGCGGCGTAACCCGCACCCAACCCGGTACTAGATTTTTCAGCCATACCCACGGGTAACCGCCGGTGCCCACGTGTATATATCATTTTTCAGCCCCTAACATCAATATTGCCCAAAATATAGAAGAATTTTAAATATCACTATATCTTCAGTTCCAATTTGCCACGGCCCTAGTGGGCGTAAATATATTCGCCATAGCTTTTGATCTAGGGTGGTCGATACGGATAGAATATACTCGTTCCCTTTCGTGAATGAGTATATAGAGCACATATAAGGGACGTTAGAGACAAATACTTTTGTGAGTGACTGTATATTAATTCATGTGCGACAGTAGTGCACAGCGGGTTTATTATATTACATTAGTAATATATTATATATTTATTATTAATATCGTTATTAATTTTATATGATTTTAATTTAGTAGAAAAGAAGAATACATAATAGTTAAAAACATTGTACTTTTTTAATTAAGTAAAACAGGAGAATACATAATCTTTAAATGCATTGTACTGACCTTCGCTGCCGTATATCGTGTTGGGATAAAATAAACCATTTTTTAGAATAATTTGGTTATTTGTGTCGTCGCTAGTAGCATTAATATTTCTATTTAAATTACATATTTTGTTTTGATCTTGACAAGCAATTCCTTTTTCCAACGATGAGGAAAGGCCCGACTTTATTGTTTCCTTTTTAATAGAATGCAATAAATTGGCACGCCCCCTTCCAATTGAAATGCTAAAACTGTTAGAAGTCGATGCAAGATCACTTGTAGTGTTCCGGGCCGTTTTTTTATAGGTTCCCCTCAAATTAGACTGGTCCGCATCTAATCCACTGTCATTGGTATGCTCTTGAGTAAATAGAGCACTTTTTTTAGTCTCCGTCTTTTTATTAAATAAAGACAGCAAGTTTCCACGTCCAGACATTTTCTACAACAAAATTATATTGTATTATTAATGATTGACAACACAATTTAGTTCCCAAACTTTAACTTGGTTCGAAGTGAAACAAGAAAGCTCCAGTCGAGACTGCTCGACTAGAAGATACCCTGAGCCCTCTAATCTGATATTCTGCACTTCTTTTATGCACACATGCATACACACGCATCCATACGCACGTATAATCACACGCTGACTGCGCAGTTATCAACGACAGCGCTTGGGCTGCGCTGCAATGTGGGCAATATTATGAGAATTTATTAGTTGCATAATTTCTCTTGTAGTTGGACTATCCTACTGAAACTTTCAGAGCGTGATCATATGGTTAGAATGTGTTTACAAAGCAGTCTCTAGTCTCTAGTCCCATTGAAAATGGGAAATCAGGGTATAATGGTTTTGTTGATATGTATGTAACAGCCAGATATATATATATATATATATATATATATTTACATAATATCAGTTGCTCGAAGGGTTCAGGGTATCTCGTAGTAATATCGACGGACAGACGGACAGAGCTAAATCGATTCAGCTCGTCGCCCTGTTTAAAAATATATGTATATAGTTTTTGGGCTCTGCCACGCCTCCTTCTGCCTGTTACATACTTTTAACAAAACCATTATACCCTGATTTCCCATTGAAAATGGGTTCAGGGTATAAAAATGAGCACCTCAACATTATATTTCGAATATTATTCTCTTTGGGAAAAAGGGTTTGAACGTGGGTCCCTCTGTAGTATATGAAAAAATGCTCAATGCTTGTTGCACGTCTTGTTTTGTTTTTTCAATTTTGATATATTTAACGAAATTTAATTAAGCTTTCAGTATATTATTTACATTGTATTCTATCGAATACTTAACATTTTATAAATTTGGTCCATTGACTCTATACGAGGTACGAGATATGGTTTTATACTTGTTTTTTTTTTTATCAAACCCAAAACCCGGAAGTAGTTATAGAAGTTCAGAAACAAACTTAATCCGTGCATGTTATAAAAAAATTCTATTTTATTTACAATAACCAAATTAAAAACATGTAAGAACGTTGCAGTCGCTATCAACCAAAGTATATAGTGCAATTTTCAAATCTAGTGCGCAACAAAAACAGGGTATGATCCCATTAAAATTGGAAAATAATCGATAGTTATTGCCTTTTATATCTAGTACATCATTGCAGCTAAGACCTTCAAATTACATATAAAATATATACAACTTTGATTTGTATTATATTTTGAATACCGGCTCCAAGCTAGCAGCAGATCAGCGCGATTTTCCTATACATGTGCACACACTCATCGTGTATTCTATGCGTACAGACAGAAGCGCGCCTTTTCTCACATTCTTAGAATTTCGATTGATTTCTGGATTTTCTAGCCGTTACTGCAGCTTTTTCAGATGACGCTCTGTTATTAAGTTATTCTATTTTAATTCTATCTCTTCGATGTTTTTTTTTTTTCATACATATTTAGTTTTTTCTTTTATAAAATAGAAGGTGCGAGCTTGAATGAATGGCACTTAATACTTTTCTTTTTCTTAGTCGAATAATTTTATAAGTTTAAATTTGTTTCTTCTTAAATAGCCCTCAAATACATATACACAAATCCATACATATGTATGTATACATTTCGTTGCCAATGTTGTGTAGTGATTTCTCAACCCTATCCTTTATTCTATTTTGGCTCTTCCTTTACTCTTTTCATTTATTATTTCTTATTCTTTATCAATTTCAACTATTCTTGCAACAACTTTTAATACAGTCGACTCTCGTTATTTCGAAATTCAAGGGACTCTTAAAATATTTCGAATTGTCAAGTGTTTAACCATATGAGTACGAATTACCGCGTCTTATCAATGATTTTTAGTTCGAATTACTGAGTGATAACTTTGAATTAATGAGAGACTCGAAATAACGCAGGTTTGAAATAACAAGAGTCGACTGTACTTTCCTTTTTTTTTCTATACTAAATCTTTGTTTTTGATTTTTTTTTTCTCTCTTTTTTTATTATTTTTTTATCTTAAGAATTATTTTAATTATTATATTATCTATACTTAATATTTCTATATTTAATTTTATTTCAAGTTTTCTTTCTAACACTTTCTTTTCATAGTCTCAGTAGTATCACTGACCATATTTGGCTGTAAAACGTGGGCATAGCTGGCCGGACTGGCAAATAAAATACCCCCATCGGGTTGGTGATACTATTGTAATTATTTTCTGTACTTTGTTTAGGCCTTTTAATTTTATGCTGACTCCCGATTTTGTCAATAAGTTTAAGAAATAAATATATGTAAATATGTACATATATAAGTTCGCACGAATAGCATCAAGCATTCTAGCCTTAAACACGCTCAAACGCTCATTTGTATGTGTGTACACATAAATGCGTACTCTAGCATATTCTAAGAATCTCAGTTGCGATTTATTTGTCTTGTTTTGGAATTTTCAGCTGCTACACTGGCTTTTCTTTGCTATGTGGCGTCATAACAATAATGTGATTTCGTTTTAACTACTGTTGTTCGAAACGAGGCGGTGGTGCTGTAGGCAGAAGCACCAGCGATCTTTATTTAACTTATTTTGACATGAACATGCTATTCGGCTCGGGTGCGAGTTCAAATCCCGCGGAAAACGTTTTTGTAAATTGCAAAAATTTTAGCTTCTTTTATATTTTTTAAATCTCATAAAAATGTTTTTTCTGTATTATGAATATTTATTAAGCCTATTTATATGTACAAATACATAAATAGATGGCTGACGCATATATATATATATATATATATATATATATATATATATATATATATTTATATATATATATATATATATATATATATATATCATTGTAAATATATATATGTATATATGGACTTTATGGGTTTCCAATTTACAATCGGTTCAGGGTATATAAAACTGACGTGCAAATTTTGTATAAAATGTGCTTTCAAGTAAGCTCTTGATCATACGTACACATACATATACTTATTTGAACATTATTTTAAATTAATTTGAATTCAATTTAATATTAATTATTGGGCATCCAGTATAAAGTTTATATTATAAACTTACAAAGTTAATGTTACTTACTATCAAAGGCTCGCGACTTTTATTCAAAAATAAATTTCAACGGCGAAATTTTGACCTCTATTCGCGCGAAATGTCAACTTAGAAATGCGAGCCAAACCAACGCTTAGTGATGATAGCAAAATTATATTCGATATAAAAGCAAAATGATCGATGATGAGAAATTCAGAATGAGTACGGAGGCTACTATTATCGACTGCAATTACATAATCACTGAATAAGTAAATTTTTCTATTTTCATTTTTGGAAATTCTCGAATATATAAATTATATACATATATTTAAATTAATATAGTTAAAGTAACTTAACTTTTTTTCTTTGGTCAGTGTGTATATACATACATACATACATACATATGTATGCGAGCACTTCACAATATCGACCAAATGCAAATGCTGGGCTTAAAAATTGCTGCAGGCAGCCAGAGTTTCGCACAAAGTCATACAAATGCTTATAGTACATGCAGCATACTGTTAGGGTGTGTTTTCAAGCTCGACACGAAAACATTTTCATCATGCGCACCAACGCTTTCATACCCTTCCCACAACTAACGAAAACGCAAATATTTTGTCTGAGATTGGCAAACGGTTTGAAGAGTTCGGAATACTCTTTCCACAGAAGGGAAGAAACGGCAGTCCAACGCGAAGAAATTTCAAATTTCGTGAGCTGCTGCTTGTGTTCACATGCATACATACATATACATATTTGGGAGAGGGAGAGAGCAAGAACAAAAATTGAGCATAGAGAAACCTTTTGTTCGACATTTGACCATCTCGGTCGAGCGCATGAAGCGAAATGATGTATTTTCTTAGCCCGAACCTAAAAGTAGAAGAGCCGAGCAAATACGAAGTGGTCTGGGAGATAACTCCAGAAAAAGTGTGCAAAACTCTTTACGCTACTTGTCCGGCCTATGTGTTCTCTGGTTAGTGATAAAATTCATGAATACCCAGAAATATAGCCATTTCAGTTTTTATACCCTGAGCCCATTGAAAATGGGAAATCAGGGTATAAAAGTATATATATTCTTGAGCAGGGCGATGAGCTGAGTCGATTTATCCCCGTCCGTCTGTCCATATGTATGTAAGCGTCGATCTAAGAAGATATAAGCTAGAGGCTTGATTTTTTTGTTAATTTCCGTAAAATAAGTCCATCCACAAGAAAAGTTATTTAGCAATTAAGTTCCAATAGTAGGAACACACTGCAGCCAATGCGTCTTTATCCGTGCGTGCGTATTTGTGGGTGTGCATGTTTCTGTGCATGTGTTTCAATATTTCTTCATAATTATATTTTCATTCAAAAATTGGCACGATTATCGAACTTAATAAAATCAATTTTCTCCGCGGCAGTGTTCGAATTGTTTGTGCCAATAATATTCAAGTACTTTGGAGGCACTTTAAATAATGCTGGTTTGATTTTTTAAAATGCCAAATTTCCAGCCAGCAGCTGCAATATTTTCCTGCAATTGGCAGTTGAAAAAGGCCAGATCTGGGCAGAAAAGGCTAAGCTGGCAGCCCTGAGCCCGAACTTAAAAGTGAAGAGCCGAGCAAATACGAAATTGATAGGCCCTACGAGACAGATTTTTCGGTGTTGAAAAACTTTGTACTACATGTCTAGTCTATGTGTTCTCTGGTCAATGATTATGCGCACCAACGCTATCCTACCATTCCCACAAATAATAACGAAAACATAAATATTTTTTACGAGCGTGTCAAACGGTTTGAAAGGTTCGGTATACTCTTCACTCAGAAGAGAAGATATGTGTTCTTGCTGCGAAAAAACTTCAATTTTTGTGAGCTGCAGAATTTCGACCGAGGAAAAAATTTGATGTTCACTTGAATGGTTACTGTCAATACTCAAAAGACCCCGTTAACTTAATTTAATTATTCAACAAACAAAATGATATGGCCACACCTTTCGGGTCATTCGAGAGGGTGGAATCCTTAAATGTCCTGCGCATATTCTATTCACACTAATGTGAATGTGAAGTAAAAACAATGTTACATACAAGGACATTCTCCAGTAAAAAATAAATATCTAACTTGCTCTAAAAGATTCATAAATAGTTCATTAATTATAAAAATCCTCTTAGTGTTAGCAACATGAAATCATATTGTTATCAATCCCTTATTTCTCTGTGTATTGCTTTAATAACACTCAAGGATTATTATGTTTGGACCATAAACGCAACATATGAGAGCAATGGGTATGTCAAATAAACAAATATTTTAAAAACTTTGGTGCATTGGGTCTTTTTGAACATCTTCAAAGAAATACTAAAAAAAAAAATTAAAATCAATTAAAATAGGGTCTCCATCTGGGCCAGAGGCCATTCCGGGACGGTCAATAACTAATTTTGAATCGCATTTTGTCAAAATAATGAATTTTTCGAAATCGAAGCAGCAGAAAACCGGGACAATTTCGTGTCAGGTCCGGAGATTACGCCCAAAAGCGGGACATGTTGCAGAATTCCAGACCGGATGGCATCCCTATTCAAAAAGAACGTGTATTCAGGGGTTTGAAAAAAAAGCTTTGGAAACAAAATAATCTTATTTATTTAATGTTTTCATAAAAAATTCTCTTTTACAAAGTATAATCATTTTATTAGTCTTATTCTATGTCCGACATACATACATATGTACGTTGTGCATCCTCGTTTTTCACTACATATTATGTATGTACATACAAATGTGTAAGTATACTTACATATTCATACATACATACAGTGGCTCACAGCTTATTTCGTGCAGTGGTGTAGTACAATTTTAAAGCCGTATTCCCGCTAAACCAGTAAAGATATCCAAAAAATTTAAATGGGGTCTTATTTATCAGTTATTCATTATGTATTAACGCACTTTGGTATTTTTCTGTTCTAACAAATAACAAGAAAACTAAAATAACTGCCTTTTTCCATATCACAGCTTATTTCGTGCACTTCACTTTCAATGACTTTATTGCCCAAAAATTCTTAAATTACGATTTTTTGTACCTCCTTTTTGTTTAATCACCTCTTTTAAGCGTGATTCCATCGAGTTTACCAATTTTCGGGTGACTTCGCTGGAGATTTTTGGCCATTCCTCCAAGAGTGCCGTTTTGAGGTCATTTTTATTGGATATTGACCACAAATTTTCTATAACGTTTCGGTATAATTACTGGGCTAGTGGATTCACCACATTCGGACAGTTCCAGATCAACCAGGACTGGAGATTACCCGGTTTATGTTTTGGGTCATTAGCCTGATAAAATAGGGATTTCCCTTCTAGACCAAGTTTTTCGGCAGTTTGGAGCGAATTACCATATTACCATCTATAAAGACTAAGTTTCCAATTCCCGAAGACGCCATGCTCTGTATTTAATGGACGCAAAACATATTGCATCCAATCTGACGGAAAAACATTAAATGTCGACTCATCTGCATATATATACCCAGCAAAATATCGTAATGCATTTTCATTAAAAACATTTTTGATATTTGCAATGGTTGCATCTAATGACAATTCAACCTCAAACTCTGCTCATGAAATACTGATAGGTTAGATCCGCTATCCTTTATTATATTAGCTAACATAAGATCTTCACCTGGATTCGAAGTTGAGTGTCAACTAAAATAGCACTTCCCATTTCTTATATACATAGATTTTATTACTTGATTTTTATAACATATTATGGATGCCTCTTTTTGAAAGGGTCAATTTGAGCTGTTTACGTATGCAATTTTTGTAAAAAGGGTCAATTTTACCAGTATATGTACATACACTAACCAGAGAACACATAGACTAGACATTTAGAACAAATTTTTTCAACGACAAAAAAAATTGCGCTGAAGAGACTAGACAACTTCGTATTTGCTCGGCTCGGTCTTTTGAGGCTCAAGCAGTGAAAACAACATCAGTGTGCTGCGAGCGCTGCCACGAAATGCACACGTTCCCAAATGAAGCACTGGTATGCGGTCTTGATACCCTGAACCCATTGAAAATGGGAAATCTGGGTATAATGGTTTTGTGAAAAAGTATGTAACGGGCAGAAGGAGGCGTGGCAGACCCCACAAAGTATATATATTCTTGATCAGGGCGACGAGCTGAGTCGATAGAGCCCTGTCCGTCTGTCCGTTCGTCCCTCCGTCCGTCCGTGTGAGTGCGTCGATCTCAGAAGGTATAAAAACTAGAGAGCTGAAATCTGGCATGCATACTCGTATGTACCATACGCAGTACGAGTTTGCTTTATTTTTTCGATAAATCGTCCGATAACTTTTTTATCGAGAATAATCGAAAAATTTATTTTGTTTTTGTAGCCTAGTTTGAACACTTTTAGACCTGGAGTCTTCAAATTTGCGTTGTATATAAGTTAATGGATACAAAAAATTTTGTAATTTACAGATTTTAGATACCACGCCCTTTTCTCCCCCAATTTGTGAAAAACGCATTTCAAGTACTAGAGACTTGTGCTTTGGAATGTACACACATATTCACCATATGATTACGCTCTGAAAGTTTCATTAAGGTCGTATGTCTATAAGAAATACAAGAAATTATTCAACAAATAAATTCTCATAATATTGCCCACACTGCAGCAAAGCCCAAGCGCAATCGCTGCTTACTGCGCAGTGAGCAGAGCGCAGGCTTATGCATGCGTGTGGATGCATGTGTATGTATGTGTGCATAAAAGAAGTGCAGAATGATTAGAATATCAGCTTAGAGGGTTCAGAGTATCTCCTAGTGGAAGCGTCTCGACTAGAGTTTTCTTACTTGTTTTCCCTTACTCACTCTATCCCTCTCTTTAAGCTCTCTCTCTATGGTCTCTCAAATAGCAGCAGCGCACAAAAATTGAAAATAGTTCGCAATGATCCCAGCTCTTTCCTTATGAGTAAAGGGTATACCGATAATTGTAAAGCGTTCCCCACGTTCATACAAAATATTAGCGTTTTCATGATTATTTCTAAGAAGGGTATGAATTTCATATGATTTCGCGACGGACAAGCACACACACACTTCACTTCTCTTCAAACATGTGTGAGCATTTGTGGCCTGTGTGCGTAACTATTGCTGTCTGAGCAAATTGTAATGCCCAAAATTTACCGTTAATTGGCCTTTGAGGGAGTACATACATTTACATCGCGAATTCATATTCTTTATGCGTATCAACGCTTTCATACCCTTCCCACGAATAATCATACAAACGCTTACATTTTGTTTGCATGAGCGTGACAAACACTTTTATGATTTAGGTAAACCCTTCACTTCAAAGGGAAAGAGCTGGGATCTTCGCGAACAAAATTCAATTTTTGTGCGCTGCTGAGATCGGCGATTTGAGAGACCAAAGAGAGAGATAGAGTTAGAGTTCCGTATACTCTTCACACAGAAGGGAAGGCATGGGTTCTTGCTGCGACGAAATTTCAATTTTCGTGAGCTGCTGCTTGTGCTCACATGCATACATACATATACACATTCGAGAGAGCAGAGAGCATCGAGAGAGAGAGAGAGAGAGCAAGGGAAACATTGAGCATAGAGGGATCTTTTGCTCAAAATTTGACCATCTCGGTCGAGCGCATGTAGCGAAATGATTGTGCGTTCGTATTTTTTCGTAGCTCGAACCTAAAAGTAAGGAGCCGAGCGAGTCCAAAGCTGTCTGGGGTGTTAAAGCCTCAAAAAAAGCGTGCAAAAAGCTTTCCACTAGTTGTCTAGTCTATGTGTTCTCTGGTTAGTGGTAGTATCTAGTCCAGAACTCTCGACTAGAGTTTTCTTACTTGTTTGCTTGTTGCTGTAAAAAATATTTATGGATAAGGTCCTTTGTCATGGAGGCAGATTATAGATATTAAATAAATCCGCACAATTCGCCTGTGGAAACCTGACATATGTTGAACACTTGTACTTTCTGAACATTTTTTTTGCATCGCATCCTAATTAATGTACTGCCAAAATATGTAAAGAGTGTTGTTAAATATTATTTATTTAAGGTTTCAACAGTTACCTGGAATATGTCAACTATATAATGGGACGATTTGCAAAGAATTTTTAAAAAATTCGTATGTGTTTATATCTCCAAACGTAACCATTTATGATTTAGAAGAACGATTGAGAGCCGCCTATGGGGTTATTAAAGAGTCAAAGTGAGTATATCTAGCATTTGGTTTTTAGTTATGATTATATTCAAATTTTTAGAGATATGAATTCAAACTGCCGAAAATATGCTCTGCCGAGTTTGTGTTTGAGTTCACTTCCAATATGTAGAACACCTGAACGAACCAATTTATTATATTTTGCCAATGTTGCGATGATCAAGAATAAATACGGTGGAAATTATACACGAAGGAAAAGATTTGTTTCAAAAGATAGTAAAAATAGGCATTCGTTTCTTAAAAAAAAATCGGTTTACTACAGCGACGTATTCACGAAAGATGTGTCAAGCAAATATCCTCCAACTAGAGAATCTGAAAATTTAAAACGGATTTGTCGAGAAGAATGTGAACTTTTAGAAAATGAGCTGTGCCAAAAAGAATATGCTATTGCTAAACGACATCCAGTAATTGGTATCGTAGGAGTAGAGGAGTGCCAGAAAATACCCCAAGACAAAGATTGCTCTACATTAGGGATAACTATTGAAGTAGATGATGCTGAAAACTGCTTTTGGGAAGACGGTTCAAGTTACAGAGGAATTAAAAACGTTAGTGTATCTGGGAAGCCGTGTTTAAGATGGTCTTGGCTTATGAAAGAAATCTCAGACTTTCCAGAACTTATAGGACAAAACTATTGCAGGTATGTATTACCAATATTTTAAAAATAAATAATCAATTAAACGTCAAAATGTCAACTAAAGCTACAATATACTATTTATGATTATTGTATATTTATTAAAACTATGTAATTTCATATGACTCTAAATATTTCATATTCCATATTTATGAAAATGAGATGAGTATTGTGTATGTTTTAAATTTACATTTTTTAGAAACCCAGGAAGCATGGAAAAGACACCGTGGTGTTTTGTGGATGACAAATCATTAGATCGAAGCATTGAACCTTGTGATATTCCAAAATGTGTTGATAAAATCTGGCTAAGTATTATTGTAACATTAGGTTTGATAATAGCAACAGTAGTCCTCATTTCAATTTTACTTCTGAAGAAAAAAAAATGTGAAATGAAAAATATACAAAATGTACGTATCCTGATAGAAACACGTGTATTTTATGATATTAAATTTTTGTTTTCGAGTTTCAGATTAACACACCTAATGCTGGCAACAATATTTATGGAAACTCTCAATTAAATACAAACCAAGATTCAGGAAGACCTTCAAATAGTCTCATCGATCAAATAGGCATACCATCCAAAAATATAGAAAAAAATTCACTTTTGCGAATTCCACATTTTACTTTACAAGATATTGAGTTTTGTGAGGAATTGGGAGAAGGAGCATTTGGTAAAATTAAATTAATGTATATATGCATTAATACATGAATGAATTTAATAATTCGTTTTATTATTTTATTCATTAACATTCTAACAAACAATTTTATTGTGTATACAGTATATACAACTAAAAAATAGATTATATGAATGTAGTGACTAGCAAATTTAAAACTTTTAAAAGCCGCCGTTATACAGTTATTTGATCCACATCTCATTGAATCATAGCTCGCAAATAACTGTTAACACTTTTTCGTTGTCTGCAAATAAGTGTCTTTCACTGACAATCAAATAAACTCAAACAGAAACTGTTTTTGTCGCGTCTGGCTTAGCTCGCTCGTGCTCTTAGCGAGACAGTTATTTCTGTTTTCGTTTCACTCAAGTCAAACACTGATCGTTTGCTTGAGTTAAATGAAGCAAACTGTCAGTTGCGTTTGTATGGGTAATCACGCGCGATTGTTGCGTTCTTTTTGTATGTATGTATGCATGTATTTACATGCACACGAAGGCAAAGATAATTTCTGTTGAGTTTTTTAGTCAAACTGTCTTTTGCTGAGAGTCTTTGTGTGAGCGAAAATCATATTAGTCTTTACGCGACACTCATTTAAGAGCGTCACACGAATGCGTCTTTGCAATGCGTCTGACCGAAACAGATTCTAAAGAAAATAGTGTCGCTCAGAGCGAGATCGTGACTGCACAAGCTTTTCGGTTATGATACGAAGCAGAGCATATACGAAAAAACGATCAACTCTCATTTGCGAGCTCTGCATTGAATCGAAAATTAATCAAATTTTTAATGTGTTTAGAGCGTATTGCCTTTTGGCCTATATCGCGCCGATGGAGTGTCAAATAATAATTAGGACGACAGCGGTTGTCATTTGAAATCTTTTCCATTTTAAACAAGTAGGAAAGCCCTAGCCGAGACTGTCCGACTACGAGATCCCCTTAACCCTTCAAGCAACCGATATTTTAATAATTATTCGACATGCACACACACGCACGCATAAGCACGCACTGGCTGCAGTGGTGGCTTGGTATGGGAAATTATTTGTTTAATAACTTTTCTTGTGGATGGATTATCTTTATGAAACTACCAGATTATGGTTATAAGATGGATATGCATGCATTTGCCAAACCACAAGTCTCTAGTTTTTGAAATACGCCTTTTACAAAGGTAAGGGTGAGGGCTGAATATAGGGGTGGGGGTAAATTTTTACAAAAATCGAGATTCTCTAAAGTACATATGAATCTACATTAAAAATTTTGCGACTCTAGCTTTAAATATGTAGCATATATAAATTTATTACTAGTTTTCGATAATGTTTTTAATCGATAACAAAATACCGGGTCAAGTTATTAATTTTTAAAGTAAAACTCGATATCCGCGTGGTATACACGCACCTAGGAAACAAATTTCAATTTGAAAGATGTTATAATGGTTTTGTGAAAAGTATGTAACGGGCAGAAGGAATAATCGCAGACACCATAAAGCAGGGACCGCAAATAAGAGTTACGCATTTAAAAAAATTGAGGGTCAAAAGAACTCCCAAGAAGAGAGAGGAAAACACTCATAAGGATTTCTTTTATGGCGAATTGAAAAAAAGGATAAACTTTTATTTGTAATTTTTTATTAACAAATTATATTTAATTATTAAAATTGAGTTTTATGATAAAAATCAAAAATAATTATTACAGAACGATTTTTATATAAAAATATAATAAAAATCAAAAATAAGAGCTATGATTTGATTTCTATATAAAAATCGTTCTGTAATAATTATTTTTGATTTTTATCATAAAATTAAATATAATTTTTTTTTAATTTATCAAAAAATAATAATTTTTTAATTTTTTGCTATAAAAAATATAATCGTTGCGGTCCCTGCCATAAAGTATATATATATTCTTGATCAGGGCGGCGAGCTAAGTCGATATAGTCCTGTCCGCCTGTCCGTCCGTCCGTCCATATGACTGCGTCGATCTCAGAAGATATAAGAGCTAGAGAGCTGAAATTGCATGCATACTCGTGTATACCATACCACTAACCAGAGAACACATAGGCCGGACACGTAGTGTAAAGCGTTTTGCACACTTTTTTTCGAGTATAATATCCTGACCACTTCGTATTTGCTCGGCTCTTCTACTTTTAGGTTCGGGCTATGAAAATATACGAAAGTACAATCATTTCGCTTCATGCGCTCGACCGAGATGGTCAAATGTTGAATAAAAGGTGCCTCTATGCTCAATGTTTTTCTTGACGTGTCCGGTCTATGTGTTCTCTGGTTAGTGGTGTGGTCTACACGAGTATACATGCAAATTTTCAAGTATCTAGCTTTTATAACTTCTGAGATCGACGCATTCAAACAGATGTATGTAACAGGCAGAAGGAAGCGTACATATGAACGCGTCGGTCTCATAAGATATAAGAGTTAGAGACTTGAACCTGTCCGTATATATCTCGCGCATATTTATTTTTTCTCAAAAAATCTATAACTTTTCCCGTTATTTTGTTACCGATTTAAAATGATCTAAAATCAGTTATAAATTTATATCTGCTACATCTTTAAAGATACAGTCGCCAAATTTAAATGTAGATTCATATGGACCTCATAGAATTTCGGTTTTTGTTAGAATTCACCCGCCATCCTTATATCTATTCCCTCACCTTTAAATCTGTAAAGGCGTATTTCAATTATTAGAGACTTGAGCTGTGGAAACTGCACTCATAATAATGTTATAATCGCGATCTGAAAATTCTTAAGCAATTAAGTTCCCGTAGTAAGACCACACTGCTGGTAATGCATATTTATGCGTGCGTGCCTGTGTACATGCGCTGTTTCTTGTGTGCGCAGAAAACGAGCGAATAATTTTTGAAATATCAGTTGCTCGAAGGGGTCAGGGGATCTCGTAGTCGAGCAGTCTCGACTATAGAGCTCTCTTACTTGTTTTTAACAATCAACGAGATCAGTTCATTGCAATAGTCAATAACTTTTATTAGTAGCATAATAACTGATTAATGTTGGTGTAAAACTGTTACATACTGCTTGGAAATATTTTTCATATTATAAATGATCGTTTGTAATTTATTTTGATAATTTTCTATTTTTTAGGCAAAGTGTATAAAGGGCAATTAACACAACCTAACAAGAAAACTGTCAATGTTGCCATCAAAGCGTTAAAAGAAAATGCGTCACTTAAAACGCAGCAAGACTTTAAACGTGAAATTGAATTAATCTCGGATCTCAAGCACCAAAATATTGTTTGCATATTAGGGGTTATTTTAAATAAAGAGCCTTACTGCATGCTCTTTGAATATATGGCAAATGGCGACTTACATGAGTTTCTAATATCGAATTCACCAATTGAAAATAAATCCTTATTACAATTGGAATTTTTAAAAATAGCAATGCAAATAAGTGAAGGAATGGAGTATCTATCAGGTCATCACTATGTACATCGAGACTTGGCAGCTAGAAACTGTTTGGTCAATGATGGGTTGATTGTGAAAATATCTGATTTTGGATTGTCGCGAGATATTTACAGCTCTGATTATTATAGGTATTAAAAATGTTCACATTATTTAAACGAGGTCTTAGCGATTTACTTAAAACTTTTTTGTTTTTAGAGTGCAATCCAAATCATTACTTCCAGTTCGATGGATGCCCTCTGAGTCTATTTTATACGGGAAATTCACAACTGAAAGTGATATATGGTCATTTGGCGTAGTTCTCTGGGAAATATATAGTTATGGAATGCAGGTATGCGTATTAAGAGCTTCTTACTCGTATAACTAAATAACTTTAAAATATTTATCATTACAGCCCTATTGTGGTTACAGTAATCCAGAGGTGATAAATTTAATAAGATCCCGCCAGTTACTATCTTGCCCAGATAATTGCCCAACTGCAGTTTATTCTCTGATGATTGAATGTTGGCATGAACAAGCTGTAAAACGTCCCACATTTTCAGATATTTCACATCGATTAAAAACGTGGTACGATGGCCATGTCAAAATCAGTAATCAAAAATCAGAAATAAATTAATATATGTAAACTGCAAATAGGTACTATTTTAATTATTTTTAATCTACTGAATTATTATATGTATATGAAATGTCTAGCTAGCGACTTCCGATAGGAATCCTTGTCCCTAGTAGTTCTAATTGACACACAGCCACGCGATCGTTAATTTGGCAGCCTTGCAATAAAATATATTCTAGACCCTACAGGAGCTGAAGCTACAGGAGGCTGAATCAAGCAAGCAAGCAATATAAAGTTAAGAAATAATGAAAACGCCCCTATAAAAAGACGAAGGTCTCTAGTACTTTATACTCAGAGTCTGGGAAAGACCTTGGAGAAAGACAGCACAATCTGTGGCAAAAAGTCACCAGAAAAGGAAAAAAAAACTACTTTGACACCCGCAGAGAAGCCGAAAGTAGCAGCGAAAACGGCGAAAGAGGAGAGTGCTCCAATCGAGACTGCTCGACTAGGAGATTCACTGAACTGTGTAATAAGCTGATATTCTTATTTTCTCACGCATCTTTTAAGCATACGTACAAGATTACATCACGTACATACGCATGTATCGATATGCATAAGCATGCGTTGTTCTAACTACGCAGTTCGCAGCCACCGTGCTAGGGTTACAGTGTGGGCAAAATAAGATAACTTAATTGTATACACGTCAAATTTCAAGTATCTAGATCATATAACTTCTAAAATCTCGCCGTGTTTACGGACAGACTGGCGGATGATAACTTAAAATAAACATAACTTAAAACGCACAGCAAACTCTGCAGGCGTACTAGTGGAATCGCTTTATTGGAAAAAAAAGTAGGCATTGCACAACAAAACTAACAAGAGTACGACGCATCTAAGAACCCGGAAAAATAACTGTCGGTTGTTGTCACAAGAAACACCTCTGCAATAAATAGAGATCTTTGGGGACTAGGCTATAAAATAGTCATTAAGAAGAAACTACAGAGTAGCGCCAAATGTGGATCACATATACAGCCAGAGGTACGCAAAGAGGAAATGCATAATCGTGCTGCTTACCAGAACTTGACGTCAAAAACGCTTTTAATAGTGTTAGGTGGGATCGATATCCTTGCTTTCTTGGAGAATCGTTTTCAAATAACAGAATACGTAATGTATATAATCAGGAGTTGATTAAAAGAACGAGAATTCCTGTACACCACATCGACTGGTACGAGACATTATAGAGTGACTTGAGGAGATCTTTCCTAAGACCAGATCTGAGAAATATCAGCTACGACTAGGCTCCAACGCAGGAAATGCCTGAATTTAAGTTTCTAATTGGATATGCAGACGACATCCCGCCCGTCATTACTGCCTAAAATACCATCGAATCCCAAAATGGACTTACCCAACTCATAATCCGCATGCAGGAAACGGAGTTCTGTTGTGCAATGGGAAGCAGATTCTAACCGAAATAACAATGCGAGTAAGCGGAAACTAATATGAGCTCAGAGGGCACTGAAGTATCTAGACGATAGTCTAGACAATAAACTTTCTTTCTGGGAGTCGCTGTGATCGTGATAGCAGTAAGTATACCAGTTAACTTTCTTGCTCAAGAATGCAAGAAGATATGGAGTTTATGCGAAAAGTGTGTAAGATGGACTACAAACATAATCGAACCCGGTCTAGAGCAATGGATAAATATCAGAGCTTGCAAATGAGAGTTGAGCGTTTTTTCGTTTATTCTCTTCCTCGCATCATAACCAAAAAATATTGTGCAGACACGTCTCTCTCTGAGCGTCACTCTCTGTTTTCTTTAGCATCTGTTTCGCTCAGACGCAATGCGATCACTCATTCGTGTGACGCTCTCAGATGAGTGTCGCGTAAAACTAACACGATGGAAACCTCACACAAAGCCTCTCAGCAAAAAACACTTTGACTAAAAAACTCAGCAGAAAATGTTTTTGCCTTCGTGTGCATGTAAATACACGCATACATACATACAAAAAGAACGCAGCAATCGCGCGTGATTACCCATACAAACGCAACCTACCGTTACTTCATTTAACTCAGAGCGCGAGAGAGCTAAGCCAGACGCGACAAAAACAGTTTCTGTCTGAGTTTTTTGACTGTGTCAGTGAAAGACACTTTTTTGCAGACAACGAAAAAGTGTTAACAGTTATTTGCGAGCTATGATAAATATAAACCACGGTGAAACTTCTTTATAAATGCTCACCGTCATGAATACTTTCGAATGTACCTAATTAATATGGGGAAAACTGCCGCATTCTTTAACTGCAAAAGGTGGTGAAATTAGTAAAGTTAAGTTGGTTTGCATTCGCGTGGCAAACGCTTTTAAGATTTGGGTATCCTCTTCACTCAAAAGGAAAGAGCTAGAGGATCGTCGCGAACAAATTTCAATTTTTGTGCGCTGCTGAGCTTGATGATTTGAGAGACCATAGAGAGAGATAAAGTGTGATAGAATAGGACAAATAACGTAAAGCGCATACAAGGAAACCATTTCGTTTGCGTGCTGGCTGCGCACTGATTTCGTGGTGCTATCTTTCATTACCCAAGGCGAGCGAATACGAAGTTGGTTGGGACCTACGACTGGTAGGCTACGATACATATTTTTCGGCGTGGAATAAATTTGTTCTAGATGTCTAGTCTATGTGTCATTTAGTTTAGTCACTAACCAGAGAACACATAGACCGGAAAAGTAGTGTAAAGCGATTTGCACACTTTTTTTCGGGAGTTATCTCCCAGACACTTCGTATTTGCTCGGCTCTTCACTTTTTGGGTTCGGGCTACGAAAATATACGAAAGCACAATCATTTCGCTTCATGCGCTCGACCGCGATGGTCATATGTTGAATAAAAGGTGCCTCTATGCTCAACTTTTGTTCTTGCTCTCTCTGCTCTCTCAAATATGTATATGTATGTATGCATGTGAGCACAAGCAGCAGCTCACGAAAATTGAAATTTTATTTGCGTTTTCCTTATTAGTTGTGGGAAGGGTATGAAAGCGTTGGTGCGCTTTTTTTACTTTGTGGGGACTGCCACGCCTCCTTATGCCTGTTACATACATTTCAACAAAACCATTTTACCCTGATTTCCCATTTTCAATAGGTTCAGGCTATTATAAATGTAGTACTTATATCTGTACATCTTTAAAGCGAGAGTCTCCAAATTTTAAATATACAGTGCTTATCATAATTATAACCCAGTGCTTATCATAATTATAAAATCAATAATAAAATCAATAAAATTGTCTCGACACAAACTTCTTCAAGTTTGTATTTTGCCAAAATAACTATTTTTTTTTTATCGAAACCAGGAAATTACCTCCCAGAGCAGGCCATGTCCCGGAATTCCAGGACGGATGGTCACCCTACTCACTTATAATCCACTTAAACGAATCGTCTGAAAATTTTTCCCAAATGGCATATATCCTTAAAATCTTCAAAAATGAGTAGTTCAATATTTCAATTATGAATGTTCACTTAAAATTAACGATTTGATAACGACTTCTTAAAAAGAAGTAAAAAACAAAGAAAAACAGCTCCCATTTGCTGTATCAAAATTATAGCCCATATTCATATTTTGTTAAAAAAATCCGAATTCGTTGCGGATTGATGGAAAAACTAATGTTAATACTTAGTCCGGCCTCCATTTGCCTTAGTTAACTCAAAAATTCTCTTTCTCATTGAAACCACTAAATTTGATAAATGGGCCTTTTCGAAACTTTGTCATTCATTTAGAATTTGTGTTTTAAGATATCAAACTGTCTCCAATTGGCGATTCTTGGCATACACACGTCTTACAAGATTACCCCAGAAATTTTATATCGGGTTGAGATCTGAAAAATATGCTGGCCAGTCAAGGAGATCAACATAAAATTCCTCCGAACACTCCATTGTACGTCTGCTCGAATGGATTCTGCTATTATCCTCTTGGAAAACCATTGGTTTCGCACGTAATTCACTTAAATATGGAATGAGACTACTTCACTGTTCATTCGGCTCGTTACAAACTTCAATTCCAAGGTACCAAATGAGCAAAATGTACCCCAAATCATGACGAAGCCACTTCCAAAGTCTGTCCTTGAAAAAAACATAGGATCCTTTCTCAAATCATGCTAATAAGAATCAAACCCATCAGGACCATCCAGGTTAAGCTTCTCATCAGAAAATATGACCTGTTAGGGTAAAAATTTATAAATATACTGTAAGCCAAAAGACGATGATTCAAACGTGCGTATGTCATATCGGTCGCAGTATACCTTTCGGCAAAATCAAGTCGAGCAACCTTGTGGCGACTTAGCAACATGAGTGCTTTGGTCAGTTAAGACCTCTTTATGATTCCTGAGCTCTTAAGTACTCGCCAAACAGTTATCGCTGACATAGATTCGCCCATATGTGAGGCCAACGCAGTGTAAGCAGTTGAGCTGTTGCTTGCTTTGTTAATAATTTTGCGTGTATCGTGAGCAATTAGTAACGGCTTTCGCTCAGTACGTCTTCTTGATCCTTATTCTTCAGGGCTATCCAAAAAAATGTTAATTACAATTGGACTTTTCAAAATTCGTAAAATACTCGAAATAGACTCTCCTGGCTCGAAAAGTGAGAAAACACGGCCCATTTCATAATAAGATAATTGTTTTCCAAGCGGCATCTTTTAAAAACTAGCTAAATTTACTTAATTACAATGTCTGTAAAGCCAAAAGTCTGTTCCGTAAATAATAAAAATAATTAAAAAAGGCAAGTAAAAATGCTAGCACACAGCAAAAGTTAACGGTTCTTTCTTAGTTTTCTATAAATTGAACAAAAATGTCTACAAAGTGCTGTAAAATTTATTTTTGAAAACCCTTAAAAATGTTAAAACTGGCTCAAAGTTTAAGTTGCTGGGTCGGCTATAATTATGATAAGCACTGTATATTTAGATGTATTTTATACAATTTCGATTTTTGTTAAAATTTACCCCCCACCCGTATATCAACCCTCTCACCCACATATTTGTAAAAGGCGTATGTATTTTAAATGCAAGAGGTCTGTGCTTTGGCATGCATATATATGTTATATTCATCATCTGAAAGTTTCATGAAGATAGTCCATCCACAATAAAAGTTATTTAACAATTTAGTTCCGATAGTAAGCCACCACTGCAGCCAATGCGTATTTCTGTGTGCGTGCGTATACCTGCGTGTGTGCGTATGTATGTGCATGTGTTGTTTCTTGTATAAGCAGAAAGACGCGAAGAATTATTTAAATAGCAGTTGCTCAGGGGAGAAGTCTCGATTTGAGCTTTCTTACTTGTTTATAGTAGTTTATAGTTATAGGAGTTTCCACTGTTGCCGTGCTCTTTACTTCTCTCTTTTTACTGGCAGCTGCTTCTTCCTCCAACTTGTGCCATGAGCTCCTGCTATGTTCTAGAACAGCAGTTCGTTCAGATCCGATGCTCCGCTTTTAGTATCCATATTGATACTTTCCTCATTCGCGATGGCGGAGCGCCTGGAAGCAGCGCTTGGATGCATATCAGGGTGCCCGTACTGCTTTAGTGCTTGGAGCATCTGCTACATACAGCGGTTTTTGGAGTTTTTGAATTATTTCCTGCTGCCGGTCTTTTTTGCTTTTTTAGTTTTTGTCAAAGCCCAGCTTTGGGTCAGTGAATCGAGATCTCTTGTGATCTAAAGAGCCCCGACATTAAGCCGCTATCAAAAATGCCAGTGCTTTAGTGGGATGAAGTCTGTTGTAATATTGTCCTAAGAGCCAATTCCACAATGAACTTATGCTGGTGCTGTTGATACGGCCTTCAAGGTGCAAGTAATTCAAATATCTTTCATTCACTTTATTATTTGTAATATAGATAGTAATAATAAAATAAAATAAAGTAATAGTTTCACATTAAATATTGCTGTACATTGTAAACTTTATTCAAAATCTAAATACACAGTTTTTCATGTTATTAAAAGCGGTGTATACATATATATTTACATATAATAATGGTTGATTAAAATTTATCACACCCTAGCCAGATACCATACTTCTTTTTTGTAGAATATAATAATTTGGTTTTTACAAAAATAACTAATAAAAACAAAGATTAACGCTGAATTTCCACATTCGACATTCCTTTGATTTCGCTCTTGATATTTTCAACATTCTTATGAGTAAACAAATTATCTCGTTCCAGATAAAGAAGTTTCCTGCTCACAATTTTCATTGTTTTGAGATTCAAGCCTAGAATTATTAGGTGCACCTAAAGAAATGGAAAATAAGAAATTTATATAAATTGTATATTAAATAGTAAAAAAAATTGAGTATGTGTGTTATATCGTAAGTAAAGATATTAAATATTTTTGAACTCTTATTTTATGATTTTCAGGTGCTTTATTATACGCTGAACGTTGGAAATGGGAAATCAGTGTATAAGGTTTTCTGAAAAGTATGTAACAGACAGAAGGAATCATCGCAGACCCCATAAATATAAATATATTTTTGATCAGAATGACGAGCTGAGTCGATATAGCCCTCTCCGTCTGTCCGTCCGTCCGTATGAGTGCGTCGATCTGAGAAGATATAAGAGCTAGAGAGCTAGATTTCCCAATACTCTGTGGCACTGTGACCGACGAGTAACTCACACACATATATGTGTGTGGTATAGGGACTGGCGGGTAACAAGCGTTTATATTTAAGCACCTGATTGATTGATTGGAGATTTCTATGCCTGGTTAAGCACGGTGTGCAAATTGGAATGCGATTTTCAATCCCTTGCACCTGTATATATATTTACATAAATATGTACCTGTAATATATATGTACATAAATATACAGGTGCATGCAATTAAACAAAAATAATTTTAGGTATTGGGAAGTGCACTTGTCACTATAGTTAGTCAGCGCGCCTAATCAATTAAAAACAGAGCTCACAAATGAGAGTTTTTTCGTATATGCTCTGCTTCGTGTCATAACCGAAAAGCTTGTGCAGACACGATCTCGCTCTGAGCGACACTCTTTATTTTCTTTAGAATCTGTTTCGGTCAGACGCATTGCAATGACTTATTCGTGTGACGCTCTCAAATGAGTGTCGCGTAAAGACTAATACGATTTTCGCTCACACAAAGATTCTCAGCAAAAGACAGTTTGACTAAAAAACTCAACAGAAATTATCTTTGCCTTCGTGTGCATGTAAATACATGTATACATACATAAAGGAACGCAACAATCGCGTGTAATTACCCATACAAACGCAACTGACAGTTTGCTTCATTTAACTCAAGCAAACGATCAGTGTTTGACTTGAGCGAAACGAAAACAGAAATAACTGTCTCGCTCAGAGCGTGAGCAGACCTAAGCCAGACGCCACAAAAACAGTTTCTGTCTGAGTTTTTTTTGATTGTGTCAGTGAAAGACACTTATTTGCAGACAACGAAAAAGCGTTAACAGTTATTTGCGAGCTATGATATAAAACCAAAATCGTTCTCACCGTTCTAAGTTGAGGGAGGCACACGCCAATGTTCATCTCCCATGCATACAAAGACATACACACACGCACATGTAAAGGTACATAGGCATACAAATGCTTCTTCAATTTTCGTGAGCTGCTGCTTGTGCTCACATGCATACATACATATACATATTAGAAAAAAATAAATTGAGCATAGAGGAACCTTTTGTTCAACATTTGACCATCTCGGTAGAGCGCATGAAGCGAAATGATTGTGCTTTCGTATATTTTCGTAGCCCGAACCTAAAAGTGAAGAGCCGAGCAAATACGAAGTGGTCTGGAAGATAACTCCCGAAAACAAGTGTGCAAAACGCTTTATACTACTTGTCCGGTCTATGCGTTCTATGGTTAGTGCTGCAGCGCAGCCCAAGCGCAGTCGCTGCTTACTGCGCAGTTAGCAGAGCCTGTGCTTATGCGTGTGTATAATTTTCAAATTTTACATTGAAAATTATGATATTTTTTGAAATGGATGAAAAAGTATAAATTACATATGTACATCAAGACAATAAACCCCACAGTAAATTAGATATTGACATGTTTTGCGGTATTCAAGATAGAGTTTTAAAGTATATACACATAGTAGTTAATTTGACGGAATTTGTATAGTACATATGGTATTGAGGAGTATAAATCTTTCGTGGCTAATGGGACTTTTACGTTTCATAAGTATATCAAAATATTTACCATTTTATCGAAAAAATTTAAAGTTCATAGATCATATTCAGGGATATATAGCTTTCGAGGTTTATGGATCATTAAGTTTATAGATGGGCGGACGGTCATAATGAGATATATCTAGCGTTGATCAAGAATATGTAAATTTTTAATATTCTGCTAAACGTCATACACATATTCTCATAAAACTATTAAAAAGTCCGTTTTCAATGTGTTCAAGGGAGACAAACATATTTAATTGTTTTTATTAAAAATAATATATGTACTTACCAATATAACTAAGCAAAACTGGTAAAAATATTAAACCATGTGTTGCGCCGATAACTACGATTCCAAAGTACATTCGAAAGTAAAATACTTGAAAGATTTGACTTTTTGCAAAAGCTAAGACTAATATTCCCGCAAACTTTGTGAGAGTTATACCAGAAAATATAGAGCTACCCATTTGTGATAAACTATCGGCAGCCCTTTTTATTTGATTCAATTCTTTTGATAATGAAAAACTGTGTACAAGGTGTGAACAAAACTCTACAGATATTCCTATAGCCATCACAAGATTGACTAAGGATACTGCATTAAGAGATATATTCCAGTAATACATAAGGCCCCCAAGGTTAATAACTATCATTGTTATAGTGATAACTACAACAAGGGCGGAATGTACATCAAAACCCATCAAAATGAATGTTACTATAAATATGGAAAGTATTGAAATTCCTACGCTCTGTAAGGTATCTGACCACATTGTTAAATATTGTTCATAAAATACATAAAATACTGAATAAGGAAAAACTTCGATTTGCATTGCTAAGTCAACTGGTAATCCGTTTGAGACAAGTTGAAACTTTAACATTTGTGTAATATTAGCAGATATTTTTCTAGCTGATTCTAATGCTTCAAAATAGTCCCTGGACGATTTTAATATTGAATGATAAGCCATAAAATATGAACTGTCTATATTGATTTTGTTTTCTTCAAAGCTGTACCGAACAGCCCCATTATAGGCTGCATGTCCTGCTTTAACACATGAATCGTCTGGATTATCTTTTAAAAAAAACGGAAGATATTTTCCAAACTCATGTTCATTGGGCCGCTGAAGGTTATTTTTTTGAATTTCGCAAGTTGAACAGGAAGTATCTGCAATAAATAAAAATAAATTACTATTCATTGCAGTTTACATTTTACAATGTTAATACCAACTGAGACGAATGTTTTAATGGAAAAAATACGATTTAAAGTTATTGCTTACCTTGATGGGGACAGAAACTTCCATTTGTGGGATTATACTTGCAACAGCTTGACGATAAAGCCCAATCAAAGTAATCGTCAATCCAACTAGAAGCTGGGCGAGCAATATATGTTAAATTTGATTTACGACTAGCTAAGTAAATTTGAGTTAAAACACTGTCATCATTGCAATATCGCCCAGAACATACTAAATTTTGGTTCAAGCTGTTCGAATAATCAATATTTCCCTTAAGTACAAAATATACAGGAGGACCAATGTTAAGATGCGCATTTAAGGACTTAAAGTAGTGCAAAACAAAGCTATCCTCAGGCATAGCCAGTTCTTGATTTAGCCCGATGTCAATTTTCGGAACAAATGCTATACTAGTGCAAAGACAACCAAAAAAGAAAACCATTACAACAACTCGAACGAATTTTTTCATTAGAAATGGAACGTAAACACTTCTAAAAAATTTATATAAGAGTCCCTCATTGTTCGGCATTATATCAGACTTTTTACATTTGATAAAACAACATATATCTAAACGGTTTTCATCCTTTCGCTTTATGTCCAAAGTAAACAAGCCAATAAAACAGGTTATTTGTAATATGAAGTCTATTAATAGCGCAACTCCTGCGTATAGCGCAAACGCCTTAACAGCAGGCATATCAGATAAACTACCAAGAAAAAAGCAACAGCTCTCACTTACGGATGTTAATAGCATACTAGGACCTACGCGTCCTAAAACTCGTCCCACCTGCTTTTCCGTTGTTTCATTAGCTCTACGATTATCTCTTTGGTACGTCTGAACTAAGATAAAAATATTATCCACCCCAACTGCCAGTACTAAAAACGGAATAACTTCGACTATAATTAATGTTGCTGGAACTCCAATATATCCAAAAATACCAATCGAAGAAACTACTGATGCTAACACTATAATAACGCCTCCAATACCCAATGTTATTTTACTATCAATAAGGGATCTTTTTAATTCTTGTACATGGCCAAGGGATATTGCTATATAAATGAACATAATAATATATGAAACTAAAACGGTCATTACGTCCGATTGCGACTCTCTATTTAATTCATCCTCAATTGACCGCTCACTTGTAAAAGCTATGTCCATTGATTTACTTTTATTATTTTTTATATAATTTATCATAAACTCAACAAATGTTTTTTCCCAATCTAATGTTTGAACTAGCTTCCCTTTATCATGGTGATTTCTTACCAAAAATGATAAAATTAAAGCGTTAGCTTGCTCATATTTTGTTGACCCTGTAAGTTGTTCACCCTGTTTTAAGAACCCGCCTAATGCAATAGCTGGATCTACTGGTCCTCCATAAGAAGCTAAACATAAATATGGATTACTTATACAGTCATACAATTCATCCAAATATGTTACCTGAAATAAAATGAAAAAAAATTTTGTTTTTTATATATATAGTATGTATTTAATATACTTACATTAAACCCGTTATCCTCATCATTATCATCAAGTCGGCTTACATCATCTTGAAAATAACCCCAGATTGATTGTATAACACAATCAGAAGCTTTTACCATAGTGTTGTCATCTTTCAAGGGAGCATAGCATATATTATGTAAAAAAGTTCCATTCGCCTCGATATTTTGAATCTGTTGCTGTAAGTCTAAGACCCTGGCCAGAAAATCCTTTGCAAATATTGGCCCAAATTTTATTGGCCCGTTCGACGTATTATGCACAATGTATGGTAGGTCTACGGCTTTAATTATTACCTATGCACCAAAATCAATTTTACTTTAACTGTGAAAGTTAAACTTTGCGTTGTAAAGTTTAAAAGAACTTACTTGTTCCATTCTAAAGAAGGGTTCAAATTTAGAATCAAAATATTCTCGCTCTATTCTAGATTTTGAACTTGGCGCAGCCCAAAGTTGTACTGGATCTGTAGTAATTTCCACATACACTATCCCGTATCCAAGCAATGTGACGAGACTGGCGCCTCCAAAAAGAGTCAACCAGGGATAAGTTGCAAAAAATGTACCCAATCTCGTGAATATGTTTTCCAAGAAGTATTCAGTACGAGCACCAAGCTTTTCAAAGTATCGCGGCTGCTGCCTATACATCGAATCGTCGGTTGCACCATCGTTACCGATTTGGAAGTTCTCATCTATTAAAACGAAGATAAAATTTATATTTGTACATTTAACTAAATTAGTAAACACTATACTATACTATAGAATGACTCAATCTTAGGCTAGGTTAACACCCTCCGTGCACATAAGAAAACAAAAACAAGCAAGAAAGCTTTGGTCGAGACTGCTCTTCTACCAGTAAAACCATTGTACATACGGTTAATTACAAGATTAATAACATTTCCCATATTCTTACGCTCAAAGATCTTGGCATTCTCTTGGACTGTAAACTTAATTTCAATCTTCAAACAAATAAGAAGGTTGCAGTCGGGCGATACCGATTGCAGAAGACTCATTCACAGCCCAAACGCTGTCAACCAGAGTATATAGTGCAATTTTCAAGTCTAGTGCGCAACAAAAAACAGGGCATGATCCCATTAAAATTGGAAAATCATCGATAGCTATTGCTATGATCATTGCATCTTTGCATTCAAATTACATACATATAAAATTTATACAATTTTGATTGAAAATGTGAAAATTACAGGGTATTTTTTGAATGCCACACCCCTAAAAAGGCTTGAAAATTATTTTTGGACATCGATAGAGGAGGTTACCAGTAACTCAACTATCCAAATTTGAAGCTTCTAGCTCTTAAACTGCAAGAGATATAAACTTTTGCGGTTTGCCACGCCCCCTATGGGCGGACATATATCTACCCTAGCTCGCTGGACTTGGGTGGTCAACCCGCGTATATATACCAAATCAGGTCATTTGCATCAATAGTGTCCAAATTATAGCCGAATTCGAAAAATCACTATATCTTCAGGCCCGATTTGCCACGTCCCTAAATGGGAATAGACACATAATTTTTCCACCCATCTTTACAGAATTGAAACATCAGCTTACGCTCAAAATTTCAGCATTCTAGGTTTATAACTTTAGGAGATACAGTTTTATCCGATTTGTCACGCCCCCAATGGGCGGAGATATATCCGCCATAGCTCATGATCTTGGTTGGTCGACGCGGACCTACATACATGGTATATCGGTAAATGCATTTACCGATTTGCCATGCCCCTAGTGGGCGGATCAGGAAAATTTTAACACTTTATAAATCGGAGATATACACGAATAAGTATTCCAAATTTCAAGTCTCTAGCTTCAATAGCGCCGAAATAGATTGCGTTCATACGGACAGACGGACGGACAGTAAGACGGACATTGCACAAAACCAATATACTCATTTCACTTTCGTGATTGAGTCAAAAAATAAAACAAAAAATTTTCTTAGCTTTGTTAAACGTTGGTTAAAGGAAATTAAAGATCCCTTTATTAGCAAGCAGTTATTTATTTTGCTTGGGAAAACAGAAAAATGATCAGTATCCTAAGATAGGACTAATCATTGTTCTGTATCTTCCCGAACAACTACAAACGTTTCTTATCGTTTGTTTTCCTTTTCTAACTTTATTTCTTTTTTTGTATACCCTGAACCCATTTTCAATGGGAAATCAAGGTATAATGGTTTTGTTGAAATGTATGTAACAGGCAGAAGGAGGCGTGGCAGTCCCAATAATGTATATATTCTTGATCACGGCGACGAGCTGAGTCGATTTAGCTCTGTCCGTCTGTCTGTCCATCCGTCTGTCCGTATGTATGAACGCGTCGATTTCAGAAGATGCAAGAGCTAGAGACCAATCAAATTTTGTTTAAAAATTTCCGTAATTACAGCGCGGATATCGAGTTTTGCTTTAAAAATCGATAACTCCTCCCGATATTTTTATCGATAAAAACCCTTATCGAAAATCAGTTATTAAATTATATCTCCTACAACTTTAAAGCTAAAGTCTCCAAATTTTCAATGAATATTTATATGCAATTTATACAATTTCGGTCTTTGTTAAAATTGGCCCCCCACCCCACATATTTGAAAAAGGCGTATTTCAAATACTAGAAACTTGTGCCTTGGCAAATGCATGCATATCCATGTTATGATAATCTAAAAGTGTGTGTTTGTGTGTGTGTGTGTGTGCGTGTGCCTTGTGTAAGTAGAAAGACGCGAAAAATTATAGAAAAAGCTATTGCGCGAAGGGTTCAGGGGATCTCGTAGTCGAGCAGTCTCGACTAGAGCTTTCTTACTTTTTTTTTACTTTTTCTCTTTTCTTTACTTTAAGAATTATTTAAATTTATTTATAATATATTATTTTAATATTTATCTTCTTAATAATCTGCATGGTTTCAATAATCACTAACCACTCACCATTTATAAAGTCTTTCGTAAACAAAAATGTTCCCAATAAAAAAACAATGGATCCAACAGTAAATACGACAGTCATAATAACTGTAAAAGCGTCAAATCCTGCAATATTAAATGGTTTGGGTATTGCTTCATCTGGAGACTGAGGGCAAGACAAATCACAATCAGTACATGAACACGCTGGCATTTCGAACTGAAAGAATCATTAAAAAATTCAAATTTTAATCAAGTAATAATTAATAGAATATAATTCAATTTTTATACCCTGAACCCATTGAAAATGGGAAATCAGCAGAGCTTGCAAATGAGAGTTGAGCGTTTTTTCGTTTATTCTCTTCCTCGCATCAAAACCAAAAAAATTGTGCAGACACGTCTCGCTCTCAGCGTCACTCTCTGTTTTCTTTAGCATCTGTTTCGCTGAGACGCAATGCGATCACTCATTCGTGTGACGCTCTCACATGAGTGTCGCGTAAAACTAACACGATTTTCCGTCACACAAAGCCTCTCAGCAAAAAACACTTTGACTAAAAAACTCAGCAGAAAATGTTTTTGCCTTCGTGTGCATGTAAATACACGCATACATACATACAAAACGAACGCAGCAATCGCGCGTGATTACCCATACAAACGCAACTTACCGTTACTTCATTTAACTCAAGCAAACGATCAGTGTTTGACTTGAGGAAACGAAAACAGAAACAACTGTCTACCTCAGAGCGCGAGAGAGCTAAGCCAGACGCGATAAAAACAGTTTCTGTCTGAGTTTTTTTGACTGTGTCAGTGAAAAACACTTTTTTGCAAACAACGAAAAAGTGTTAACAGTTATTTGCGAGCTATGGAAATCAGGGTATAATAGTTTTGTAAAAAGTATGTAGCAGGCAGAAGGAGGCGTGGCAGACCCCACAAAAGTATATATATTCTTCCGTCCGTCTGTCTGTCCGTCAGTCCGTATGTTTGAAATGCGTCGATTTCCGAAGATATAAGAGCAAGAGACTTGAATTTTTTTTAATGGCCATATATACAGCGCGGATGTCGAGTTTGCTTTTATAAATCATCTCGTTAAGTTTTTATCGAATAAAAACATTCAAGTTCAAGTCAGATGCCACTATAGCTAATTGTGAATGATTTTTTCTTTTTAATTTGTCAAATATTCAATATAATATGTAGATCATATGCTGAAAGTTTCATTAAATTTCGTTAAGTCAAAAAATAATAAAATATTTGGCCAATTAACAAACGCACGTGCAGCAGCTACAACAGACTCGTATAAGTGTGCACACATACACTCAAACTTATTCTAGTTAGTTTGGTTTATTTTGCTAGATGGCGCTGCAGCAGTGAATCTATTTCAGCTTCCAAAAATGAGGCGGCGTAGTGACTAGCGGCGTGGCGTTCGATCGAGAAGTCGGGGGTTCGAGACCCGAGCGCGCAGCTGATGTTATTTTTTTTTTAATTGTTTTAAAATATTTATATATTTAATTAAATCGGGTTTCTATTTAATTTATATTATTAAACACACCAAAATTGAAATTTTAACCATACTAAATGTGCGTTTTTATTAGTTTGGTTATTCTAGCAGATTCTTGGAATCACATCAGCAGTTATTTTGGGTCAGTTTTACTAGATGGCGCTGCAGCGGTGAATCTATTTCAGTTTTGCCAACGCAGCTTCCAAAAGAAAGGTGGCGTAGTGCGTAGAGGCGTGACGCCCGATCGAGAAGTCTCGGGTTCGAACCCCAAGCGCGCAACTGATGATAATTTTTTTTAAATTGTTTTAAAAAATGTATATATTTAATTAAATGGGGTTTCTATTTCGTTTCTATATTTAAATACGCAGAAATTGAAATTTTAGCCATACTAAATGTGCATTTTTATTAGTTTGGTTCAGGGTAGTATCTAGTCCAGCTTTCTCGACTAGAGTTTTCTTACTTGTTCATATTCATTTTCGGTAATTCACTTGCGTTACAAAATACGTATTTTAATTGTATAAGTTATTTTTCGAGTCATCTTTAATAATATTTTGATCATAGTTTTTAAAAAATCAATCGGTCACGAAGAATAATACTGGTATTTCTGTGGAATATCTTACAAGCTTATAAAATGTACCTCTATGAGCAATTTACTACCAAATTAACAAAAAATAGAAAACTAATTTATTTAAAGCAAGTAAGAAAGCTCTAGTCAAGAGTGCCCGACTACGAGATCCCCTGAACCCTTCGCGTAACTGATATTTCATGCATATTCGCATATGCACACAAACACGCACACACACAGGCATATGTACGCATGCATAAACACGCATTGGCTGCAGTGTTGGCTTACTATGGGAATTTAATTGTTCAATAACTTTTCTTGTGGATGGACTATCTTCATGAAACTATAAAATTATGAATATATGTGTATTTTGAATTTTTCAAAAATTTATATTGGGTAATGAGCAGATGAAATTTTTATTTGGTACATCTTTAGAGCTAAAGACGCCAAATTTTTAATGTAGATTCATATATACTTTATAGAATTTTTGTTGAAATGTGTACGTATCCTAGCACATTGTAAGAATTAAAAATATTGATGAATTGGGTTTGCATTGTCTTTGAATTGTTTTTAAATTCAGCAGAAGTTTTTTCGATTTTACTACTATGACCTCGAGCAGTTTAGTAGCGGCAGTGGCTAAGTAGATGCACACTATGTTAGAAGTTCTAGTCCCGCCGATATTAACTGTTTTTATATCGGCAAGTTAGCGGTAAGAATAATAGAAATAAAGAGAGAGGAACCTAAAGAAGAGTACAAATCATTTTTCTACATATAGAAGCTCGAGCCTCCATTCACACCTAACTAATACGACGGGGCTTATACCCGTTCATATTCGAAAGTAGAACAGTAGAACTACAACAGCAATTAAAATATATACATATATAATATATAAGTTCCTATATACAGTGCTTATCATAATTATAGCCCACCAAGCAACTTAAACTTTGGGCCAGTTTTAACATTTTATGGTATTTCAAAAATAAATTTTACAGCACTTTGTAGACAGGAGCATTTTCAGTAGAATTTATCGAAATTTTTGTTCAGCTTATGGAAAACTAAGAAAAAAACCGTTAACGTTTGCTCTGTGTAGCATTTTTGTGTATCATAATCATAGCCCACTCTTGCAAATTTAAGTTTATTAAGTGCGGAACATACTTTTGGCTTTACAGACATTGTAATTAAGTAAATTTAGGTAGTTTTTAAAAGATGCCACTAGGAAAACAAATATCTTATTATGAAAAGGGCCGTATTTTCTCACTTTTCGAGTCAGGAGAGTCTATTTCGAGGATTTTACGAATTTTGAAAAAAAGTCAAAGTGTAATTACAATTTTTTTGGATAACCCTGAAGAATAAGGATCAAGAAGACGTACTGGGTGAAAACCGTTACTAATTGCTCACGATATACGCAAAATTGTTAAGAAAGCAAGCAACAGCTCAACCGCTTACACTGCGTTGGCCTCACATATGAGCGAATCTATGTCAGCGATAACTGTTTGGCGAGTACTTAAGAGCTCAGGAATCATAAAGAGGTCTTAACTGACCAAAGCACTCATGTTGCTAAGTCGCCACAAGGTTGCTCGACTTGATTTTGCCGAAAGGCATACTGCGACAGATATGACATACGCATGTTTGAATCATCGTCTTTTGGCTTACAGTATATTTATAAATTTTTACCCTAACAGGTCATATTTTCTGATGGGAAGTTTAACCTGGATGGTCCTGATGGGTTTGATTCTTATTAGCATGATTTGAGAAAGGATCCTTTGTTTTTTTTCAAGGACAGACTTTGGAAGTGGCTCCGTCATGATTTGGAGTACATTTTGCTCATTTGGTACCTTGGAATTGAAGTTTGTAACGAGCCGAATGAACAGTGAAGTAGTGAGTGAATAGTTAAGTAAATTGAAGTAGTTAGTGAATTACGTGCAAAACCAATGGTTTTCCAACTGGATAATGGCAGAATCCATGCGAGCAGACGTACAATGGAGTGTTCGGAGGAATTTTATGTTGATCTCCTTGACTGGCCAGCATATTTTTCAGATCTCAACCCTATATAAAATTTCTGGGGTAATCTTGTAAGACGTGTGTATGCCAAGAATCGCCAATTGGAGACAGTTTGATATCTTAAAACACAAATTCTAAATGAATGACAAAGTTACGAAAAGGCCCATTTATCAAATTTAGTGGTTTCAATGAGGAAGAGAATTTTTGAGTTAACTAAGGCAAATGGAAGCCGGACTAAGTATTAACATTAGTTTTTCCATCAATCCGCAACGAATTCGGATTTTTTTAACAAAATATGACTATGGGCTATAATTTTGATACAGCAAATGGGAGCTGTTTTTCTTTGTTTTTTTTTTGTTTTTTTTCTTATTTTTAAGAAGTCGTTATCAAATCGTTAATTTTAAGTGAACAAGTTTTTTGCCATTTATAATTGAAACATTGAACTACTCATTTTTGAAGATTTTGAGGAAATATGCCATTTGGGAAAAATTTTCAGCCGATTCGTTTAAGTGGATTATAAGTGGGCTATAATTATGATAAGCACCGTACTGCAGCCCAAGCGTAGTCGCTGCATATGTATATATGTGTTCATGTGAGTTTGTATCTGAAAGAAGTGCAGAATGATTGGAATATCAATACTTTATTGGATTCAGGGCATCTCGTTGTCTAGCAGTCTCGACTAGGGCTTTCTCAGTTTTTTATCTTTTGTTTTTCACAAACATCCTACTCAATTGTTGTGCGACTTCGAATACCGCGTGAAATTTTTAATTTGTAGAAAATATTTTTAAGTTTAATTAAAAATCCAGATCTTTCGGGCTTTATTGTGGGTGAAAATCAATTCCTGAAAATGTTTCTGTTAAAGTTAGCTCACACATGCCAAATTCTATGTACACAAAAACAAAACCTAAAACTCGTCGTATAAAACTTACATTTACAGATTCATTACAGGGTGTTGTTTTTGGATTAATTGGAGTAATCCCATTCTTTGTCGAGTTTGTTGAATGCTGAATATATGTTATTTGGAATGGAACATATATATTATTTGCATCTCCCATATAATTGAACCACTTTGTAGGACTACATCGTGATGCTGGATAAGCTCCGCACATTAGATCTAGTGCTAATTGACCGGTTTGTGGAACTGATACCTAAAATAAAAATGATTATTAGTCCTTTTTCCAATTAGTCTTTCTAAATTTTATATATTAACATTATTTTTAATATATACTAATAATATACAAAAACACAAATTGGATTGCGTTCTGTCTTGTATAACTGTATTGTTTATCAATGTCACATCATATCACATCTGGTGTTTCGTCATTAATATATTTATAAAAAAAAAAAAGTAAGAACGTTGCAGTCGGGCGTAACCGACTGCGGAATACTCATTCACATCCCACCAGAAATTTATTAGCTAAGTTTTGCTCTAATACTGTAGAAAATTCAGTTTTTCCCGATTTGCCACGCCCCTACTAGGCGTAGATAACTCATTTTCTGTCAGTTCTTAGAACGAGCTAACGGTAATTTATTAGCTAAGTTTTGCTCTAATACTGTAGAAAATTCAGTTTTTCCCGATTTGCCACGCCCCTACTGGGCGTAGATAACTCATTTTCTGTCAGTTCTTAGAACGAGCTAACGGTACACTAACTGCAAAATTTAAATGCGTACGCTTCAAAAATGTGAAAATTACAGGGTATTTGTCGATATGCCACGCCCCTAAAAGGGCGTGAAAATTATTTTTGGCTCATCGATAGAGGAGGTTACTAGTAACTTAACTATCTCAATTTGGTCTTGGGTGGTCAGTCCGAGTATATATACAACATCTGAGGTCTCTAGAATCAATAGAGTCCAAAATATGCCACGCCTCTAATAAGCGTAGACATATAATTTTTTTTACATTAGGCTTTATAGAATCATTACATTAGCTTAAGTGCAAAATTTCTGTCTTCTAGCTGAAAAACTCTCCGATTTGCCACGCCCCAATGGCTCGTAATAGCTCGTTATTTGACTGGTCGACGCGGATATACATTGAACATTTCAGCTTTCTATCTCTTCAACTAATATGATTTCTGGTATATCGGAAAATGCATTTTCATATTTGCCACGCCACGCCCCCAGTGGGAGGATCGGGAAAATTTACACTTTATAAATCGGAGATACACGAGTATGTGTTCCAAATTTCAAGTCTTTAGCCTCAATAGCGCCGAAATAAGCTGCGTTCATACGGACAGACGGAGGGACAGCAAGACGGACAATGCACAAAACAAATATACTAATTCACTTTAGTGAATGAGTATAATAATACACACATTTGAATACATGCGTTCACATGTGAAGAGAAAAACTATCGGAGTTCATTCAAAAATAGAATTCTCAAATTGAGCTTTATTGCAGCTACATGCAGCATTATTTATATTTTATATTTCCAATAGTCTTCTATAGTAGTAATGCTGCATGCGTGGACTAGATATGTAGTAATTTATTTTATGAATTACAAAATAGTTTACCGGTGTCATTAATCACAATATTCCGAGAAAAAAATCTTGAGTATTGTATGAACCAATAAAAAATGCCCAACGTGTTTCGAATTGACTTCCATCTGGTATTCTTAGTTTAAAATAATAACTTTAAACTATAACCCACCTGGGAACATGACTTATAAGTCCTATTGATATACTCTTCTGTTACGTGTAAATCCAAAGAAGTTACATAAAGATCACCTGAAATTTAGTTAAAATTAATATTTGATATAATATGAAATAAACAGTAGTACCTTCATCATTTGTCTTTGTAGCAGCAGCTCTAGAGAATTTTGATTGATTTGGAGAGCATGTCAATTCGCAAATATGACGGGCCAAATTGGTCATACATGATGGGCAACGTTCTAAAATTGCCGCAGCGAGTTTAATGTTCTCATTCAATATTTTTACCTAGTATAGAATATTAGTGTATTTTCAATAATAAATATTTATTAAAATACCTGATCTACGTCACAGCAAAATTTTTTTTCCTCAGCTTGAAGTAAAAAGCTGCACCTTTCTGTTAACAACTTCAGTCCATCTTCAGGCATCTCTTTTGGAGTGCCATTATAGGAACAATATTGATTATGATTCAAGGCATCCGTGTTACAAACTCCATACCAGACACAATCCTAAAAAATATTTATTCGATCAAATTTGATGTCAGAGTGGCCGCGATAAGCGATGCGATGCTATAAGCGATAATTATCGCAGCGATCTGCAAAGCGATGACATGATAGTGAAATTTATCCGCAACGAGAGAAACATAGCGAGTGCTCAAATTGTAGTCATTGTGAGTGCTCAAATTTTAGTCTCATTCGCAACGTTTTTGGGAAAAAAAAAACAACAACATTGAATATATCCAAATTTAACACGAATGTCCATCAATTATTTAAAGCGTTTTCAGAGTAAAGCCGCTTTCGCAGAAACTTATTTATTATTGTTTATTTTATAACTTACTTGTTTTGATGCACAAAATAACGAAACAAATATCCAAAATATGAAAATTTTCACTACAGCTGTTGTGTGCCGTTGTATAATCATTTTGCAGTTGAATCAAATATTTTAAGTATTATATCTAAAATAAAATAAGGAAATACATAAATTTATTAATCTATGCATTTATGCATAATTGAAATTGTGAAATTTTACTGGTTTATAATTTTTAATTTTAGGTTGTTAGATGGTATTGAGGAATGGACAACAGTCCACTACATCAAATCAAATAGCACTGTTTTATCTAGTATACTGTTATATCTAGTATGCTGTTTTGTGTAGTATACTGTTTTGTGTAGTATACTGTTTTATATAGTATAGGGACATGCATACTTAAGTAGATCGCTCATTATTGCAGCTTATTATCTACGACTGGAAACCTTAAAAAATTAGTTGGCTAGTATGCTGGTACTCTTACTTAAACCTAATTTTATTTAAAGATCAACAAGTTTCCCAACGGTTCAAAGCATAAATTTATACGAATATTATATAACAAGTAAGAAAGATCTAGTCGATTACGAGATCCCCTGAACCCTTCGAGCAATTGATATTTCAATAATTATTCGCACATGCACACACACGCACAGGATAGCTCAATACCTATTGATCGCTTGGACCAGCTTATGGTGGACAGCAAAGAGCTACGGTTGTTCTTCCAATTGGGAGAGCCAAAACTCTGCTCGAGCTGTCCAAAATTTGATTAGGATGGGTTGTATGCCGTATCCGAGCCGTGGACCAGCCTAAACGCTGTTTCAAGTGCCTCGATTATGGACATCTTGCAGCCAACTGCGGCAGCGACTGTGATTTAAAGGGTGCCTGTTTCAGGTGTGGAGAGATGGGTCACAGTGCAAAAGCTTGCAACAAGTTACCAAAATGTAGCCTCTGCGTCCGAAAAGGCAAAAAGCAGACGGACCACTTAGCAGGCATCTTCAAGTGCCCATCCTACCGTGAAGCTGCGCGTTAAATGAAATGTTAAGGTTCAGCTTAGCTTAAATCATTGTGTTGCTAGAGCAGACCATACGGGAAAAATGTATAGACGTAGCCTTTCTCAGCGAGCCCCATCACCTGCCATAGGACATGGTCAACAAACGCTAATGGCAAGGCTGTGTTATGGGTATGTGGCAACTTAACGAATGTACTTTCGAATGTTAAGTCATTTAATGGGTTCGTACGTGGCCGATACGGTATCTTATGGCTCTACAGTTTCTACCTGACTCCCAGGTGCTTGACGAGCTTGCCGAGGGTGCTAGGGGTCGGAAGGCCATTATAGCAGGAGATTTTAACTCATGGGCGTTAGAATGGGGTAGCCACACAACAAATGCCAGAGGCCGTATCCTGCTGGAGATCTTCGCGACACTGGATGTTGCACTGGTCACGAGTTCACCTTCAGTCACGGGCTACGTGAGCCACCTGCCAGGGCGTCAACCTTGTGGAGAGAATCGTATCGGCTGGATACTTTTGATCCCGCGGCCTTTTCAGAGGCCATTCAGTCTCTGGGCACAATTGTTAATGCTGAGGGCAGTTCACGCGACAACAAGAGCCTACGTTTTGGTGGAATGCACAAATAGGTGACATTCGACGCCAATGTATTCAGGCGAGAAGAAGCTATCAACTATTAGCTTACCAGGCAGCTAGAAGACAGTTGAAGAAGGCCATTCGGGCAAGCACAAGAGAATGTTTCTTAGAGTTGTGTGACTCAGCCGAATATGACCCCTGGGGCAGAGCATACAAGATAGTAGTTAAAAAACTATACGCAGGTAAACAGGTGCAGCCTACGGATCGCTTGGAGCTTAAATCGATTATGGAAACGCTCTTTCCAGAAAGATTAAGCTCAATGGGCACTCAAATTGTTTTAGTTACAGAAAGAAATCTTAGTAGCTCTCAGAGGTCTTAGAACTAAGACAGCTTTAGGGCCGGACAGGATCCCAAATCGTGCGCTAAAGCTAGCCCTCGCCTTGCACCCTAGTACGTTTGCCGAATTATACAACGAATGTTTAATTCAGGAGACGTTCCCTGCAACCAGGAAAACCCAGATCTTGGTATTGCTACCCAAGGCTGGCAAACCACCAGAGGAGCCATCTTCGTATAGACCAATCTGTCTCTTAGACACCATGGGAAAGGTGTATGAGAAACTGATTTGCTCTAGACTGGAGACTGCTATTGTTAGCGCCGGAGGCCTGTCACCTAACCAATTTTGTTTCCGGAAGGCCCGGTCAACAACAGATGCACTAGAAAAAGTTGTTGGCCTGGCAACTTCCGCCATCCAAGGCACCAGATGGAGGCACGGGACGAAGCAATACTGGATCATCGCAACCTTGGATGTAAAGAATGCCTTTAAGACAGCTAGTTGGGATATGATACTGGATGCCCAGTCACAATATAATATCCCTAAATATCTAAAAGAGATAATAAAGAGCTACTTCAGAGGAAGAACACTGGTATACAACACGAGTGAGGCTCCCCAAACTCATACAGTGTCAGCTGGAGTCCCACAAGGTTCATTGCTGGGACCTCTCCTATGGAATATTATGTACGATGGCGTACTGCGCTTGGAACTTCCAGCAAGTGCGCACACCATTGGCTTTGCTGATGATGTAGCTGTCGTCACCATAGGCAAGGAGCTTAAAGATACTGAGGATATGTGCAGCGCAAGTATCAATCGCATACGAAACTGGTTGACAGGACCTGGGCTCGGGCTAGTGGCACACAAAACCGGAGTCGTCTTTGTCAGCAGTCGCAAAAGAGTGGAAACTCCCAATATAAAGATCGGCAGCGTCACCATTGCGTCAAGGACGATAAAATATCTTGGTGTCATGATGGACACAAGATTAACTTTCCGCGAGCACTTAGAATATGTGCATAAAAAGGAAGCTGATTCTTGTAGAGCTCCCAATTATGCTTAACACACGGGGACCAAAACAGCAACGACGTGTCTGTCATCCTCTATGCTGCGCCAATATGGTCAAGAGCAATGGCAACGCCGAGCTACAGCCGGGGCGCCACCTACAGACTAAGCGTAATCAAAGTCTGCTGCACGCTCAGAATAGTCTCTGACGACGAGGCGCTCGTCAGAGCCGGCATGGTGCCTTTGGAAGACTTAGTCGCCGAAACCGTCGCACGGAATGAACACGAGCCTATACGACGCAATGATATCAGAGCGAACAACATTGCACAATGGCAAAGAAGGTGGAACAGCTCAACTAAAGGGCGGTGGACACATTGCTTGAGCAATGGGTAAACCGGGACATGGATGTTTTCGGAGCTACTTGGAGCGCTTTGGACAAGATGAAACCGACAAATGCTCTTGGTGCGGACGAGGTCTGATGAAGGACGCCAACCATGTCTTATTCGAATGTGGACGCTTCTTAGAGGAGAGGCACCGTCTGGAAGAAACAGTGGGCCGCTCCATTAGAGCGGACAACATGGTCAACGTAATGCTGGAATTGGAGGCAGCTTGGAAACTTATAACTCCTTCGCGGCCACAATTATAATGGAGTTTCGCAGAATCGAGCGAAGACGTGCTGTCCCTGGCTAAGGGAGTGCAAAGTGCTTGCGAAGCAATGCTTTACGGCCGTCTCTAGTATTTGAAATACGCCTTTTACAAAAGTGAGGGTGAGTGGATGAATTAGGAGTGAAGGGTAAATTTTAACAAAAATCGAAATCGAATAAAATGCATATAAATATATATTTACAATTTGGAGACTCTAGCTTTAAAGATGTAGGAGATATAATTTTATAACAGATTTTCGATAAGGTTTTTATCGATAAAATAGTACGGGATGAGTTATCGATTTTTGGAGATAAACTCTATATACGGATATTTTTAAAAAACATTTGAAGTCTCTAGCTCTTATATCTTCTGAAATCGACGCGTTCATACATACGGACAGACAGACGGACAGGGCCACATCGACTCAGCTCGTCGCCCTGATCAAGAACTGATATTTCAATAATTATTCGCAAATGCACACGCACACGCACACACACAACCATACGCACGCACGCTTAAACACGCATTGGCTGCAGTTTTCTTGTGGATGTACTTTCTTAATGAAACTTTCAGATTATGATTATTACATGAATAGGCATGCATTTGCCAAAGCACAAGTCTCTAGTATTTGAAATACGCCTTTTACTAAAGTGAGGGTGAGGCGTGAATTAGGAGTCAAGGGTAAATTTTGACAAAAATAGAAATTTTATAAAGTGCATATTAACCTACATTACAAATTTGGAGACTCTAGGTTTAAAGATGTAGGAGATATAATTTTTTAACTGATTTTCGATAAGACTTTTAATCGATGACAAAATAAAGGGGCAAGTTATCGATTTTTGAAGCAAAACTCGATATCTTCGTGGTATACTTGGACCTAGGAAAAAAATTTAAAGTTTCTAGCTCTTATATCTTCTGAAATCGACGCGTTCAAACATACTAACAGACGGACAGACAGACGGATAGGGCCAAATCTTTTCAGCTCTGATCAAGAATATATATACTTTGTGGGGTCTGCCACACCTCCTTCTGCCGGTTACATACATTTCAATAAAATCATTATGCCCTGATTTGGGTTCAGGGTATAAAAACCATCATGTTAGCTACGAGATGATTTGGGTGCACTGCCAGTCTATGCGCATATCTGGTAGTATCTTTCAATCTGTTCTGTAATTGTTGGAATTTAAGTTCTTAAGTCGGATTAGGTTTCTCGCGAACCAGAAAGCTACAGCCCATCTTCTTAATGCTTTATTTTGTAAGACAAATGCTGCAGGGTCTTAGCATCCAATCCAGTTTTCTAGTCATATTTTGCATATGTTGAACACCTGACTTATATGTTCCATATATGCCATATATGTTTTCTCTTCCTCCATAGGCCTGATAGTGCTTACGTACATATTTTCTTTTGAGAGCCGCAGCTAGTTCCCCCGCGTAGTGCCAGTATTTGATACTAGTTAGCTTAGCTTAGTTATTACAGCCATTAGGATGGTCAATATATTTGCCCGCTGGCTTTCTATAAATATATCGCATTGCTTTCAATTCGGCATTAATTACTAGCTTCAAACTAGCACACACACACTTTTTTCGAGCATTACGACCCCAAACAACTTCGTAGTTGCTCGGCTCTTCACTTTTAGGTTCGGTTCGCACAATTATTTCACTTCATGCGCTCGACCATCTCGGTCTGTTGAACAAAGATGCCTCTATCCCAGTGGCGACGAGCTAAATGAGGTTGGCCGAGATAATGCATTAAATACGAGACGTAAAGTAATGCATTACCTATGAGATTTTTTTCAGCGCATTTCTAATGACCAATATTAAAACGACTACTCGTACGAATCGTGCTTTGGTCAACTTCGTTTTTGTATGCCCCTTCACCTCTATCAACCAATGATTTTCGTCTTCGTTTGCTTTCTTTCTTTATGCCTATTCCTTTTCTGCGTATAGTGTTAATGTGTGAAAATACAAGTGCATAATGGTATACATATGGGACACGCCACTTTTCAGATTTTATTGTGCTGTGTGGACGTAATTTGAAGGAATGCATTTCGCAGTGCTCTGTCTGGCCTGTATAAATCATCTTAATTTTATTTTTAATGACAAAAAATGAATAATGTTTAATTAACAGATGCCATTAAAAAGAGCTACATCACAACTATCAGAAACTGCATTCGGGTTCAGAAAGGTCGGCTGGCGAAGCACAAAACAATAAAACAACGAATTAATATTTAGTTATGTAAATATAGACTGAGTGAATTTAGATTTTAAGAATGTAAATAATATTTAGCTAATACGACATAATAAATTATAATTATTATCAATTTAAATAAAAGATGCTACAATACGGAATCGTTTCTATATTTTAATTACTAATCAATTATATCTGCAATTACATTGCACAGATGGTTACACATTACTAATCCATAGGCGATTTTGAAATTGTATAATGCGTTTTCTTCAGGCTGCGGAATTTCTGCATTACAATATTTAACAAGTAAGAAAACTCTAGTCGAGAGTGCTCGACTAGATACTACCCTGAACCCAACATATAAAAATGCCCATTTAGTATGGTTGAAATTTCAATTTCGATGTATTTAAAAATATAAATAAAATACCAAACTCATTTAATAAAATATAAAAATATTTTGAAACAATTAAAAAAGTTCACATCAGTTGCACCGATCGGGATTCGAACCGCGACTCCTCGATCAAGCGTCATGCAGCTAACACACTAGGCCACCCCACTCCTGCTAGTGGCGCTGGCAAAACTCAAATAGATTCACTGCTGCAGCGCCATCTACCAAAACTAAACGAAACTAACTGCTGATGTGATTCTAAGAATCTGCTAGAATAACCAAACTATTAAAAACGCACATAAAGTATAGTTAAAATTTCAATTTCGTTGTAATTAAAAATATAAATTAAATAGAAAACTCATTTATGAAAATATGAAAATATTTTGAAACAATTAAAAAAATTCACATCAGTTGCACCGATCGGGATTCGAACCGCGACTCCTCGATCAAGCGTCATGCAGCTAACACACTAGGCCACCCCACTCCTGCTAGTGGCGCTGGCAAAACTCAAATAGATTCACTGCTGCTGCGCCATCTACCAAAACTAAACGAAACTAACAGCTGATGTGATTCAACGAATGTTTCTAGAAGAAGTTTGAATGTATGTGTGCACACGCATACGATGCTGTTGTAGCTGCTGCACGTGCGTTTGTTAATTGGCCAAATATTTGATTATTTTTTATTAATTTTTTACTGAACGGAATTTAATGAAACTTTCAGCATATGATGTACATATTATATTGAATATTTGAGAAATTTAAAAAAAAGAAAAATCATTCACAATTAGCTATAGTGGCATCTGATTTGAACTTGAATGTTTTTACTCGATAAAAACATAACGAGATGATTTATCGAATTTTAAAAGCAAACTCGACGTCCGCGCTGTATATACGGTCATTTTAAAAAAAATTCAAGTCTCTAGCTCTTATATCTTCGGAAATCGACGCGTTCAAACATACGGACAGACGGACAGACAGACAGACGGACAGGGCCAAATCGACTCAGCTCGTCGCCCTGATCAATAATATATATACTTTGTGGGGTCTGCCACGCCTCCTTCTGCCTGTTACATACATTTCAACAAAACCATTATACCCTGATTTCCCATTTTCAATGGGTTCAGGGTATAAAAAGTATACGCTTGGGTAATGGAGAACCGAAAGAAACTTCGTCACTTTATTATCATGCATTATAACATTCAATTATTTCATAAAACCGGTAGAAAACGCGCCCATTTGTTAATAAAGTAATGCACACAGGAGAGAAGTAATCCATGAGTAATGGACAAAATAATGGACATTTCCACTATTGAGTACATATTCATATTTGAGAGAGTAGAGAGTAGAGAGCAGAGAGAGAGAGAGAGAGAGAGAGAGAGCAAGAAACGAAAAGATTGCGCTTTCGTATATTTTCGCCGAACCTAAAAGTGATGAGCCGCGCAAATATGAAGTTATCTAGGCTCGAAAAAAGTGTACAAAAATCTTTACACTACGTTTCCGGTCTATGGTTAGTGATATTATTAGGCTGCAAACATAGTGCGCGCTGAGACGAAGACGAAGACGAAACGCAAGCAATCAGCTTCAAACTGCTGATATTCTACTTATTCTGCACTTCTTTTATGCACACATGCATACACATGCATCCACACGTACATATAAGCACGCGCTCTGCTAACTGCGGTGTCGCTGCAGTGAGGTCAATATTATGAGGATTTTATTGTTGAATAGTTTCTTTTGTAGAAAGACTATCTTTATGAAACTTTCAGAGCGTGATTATAAATAAAAATTTAAATACTATCACCATTTTTATGGCTGTAAACATAATTAAGGAACGTGTCTCTGCTTAATCCTCTTTTCTTTGAACTTTCCGATATACTTCTTGGTTTGTTGCTTAAAAATTTTTCTCCCTCTGTCATGTGCGTGTTCAGATCTTCTAAATCTAACATTGTATAATGGTATAGAAATTACTTTAACAATATCTTTTGCGTTTGATGGAGTCGTTTCAATTGGCTTTCATAATATTCTCCATTTGGAGTTAATTATGCCAAATGCACATTCCACACACCTTCGCGCTCTGGACAAACGATTATTAAAATATTCATTTTCCAATGTTAGATTTCTTCTGGCATATGGTCGAAGTCCAGTTAGGGAATTCCCAAAAAAGCAGCCTCATACTATTGCACTTGATCCGCCATATTTAAGGGATTTTTTGTATATCTAGGATTGAATTCTGAGTTCTGTGGATGTCTCACGTAGGACCGCGATCCTTTTCCACTAAAAATTAGCATCTTACTTTCATCAGACAAAAGTATGTTTCTCCATTCCAGCGCAGACCAATTTTTGTGTTTCCCTTGCAAACGCCTTCCGTTTGGAAATGTGTTTTATATTCAAATATGGTACTTTTCTTTAACGGAAAGTGTTCAAATCGTGATGTCTTAAATATTTCCATACTGTTTGGTCCATTGCTGATATGTTTAGGTCCTTTTTCAGTTGAGTAGCCGACTTAAAAGGATCCTTTTACTCTCGTAAAAGAGTCGAGTGACATGATTGATTGTGGATCATTTTATTTGAACAACCCATCAAATGACCAACTTTCCTGTGAGAATTTCGAGTTAAAATCAACTTTTTAATATGATTGGGTTGTTCGGTGGGGTAATGCTTTTCACGACCCATTTTTTTTTTTTTTTTGGCAAATTTTCACAAATTCTGAAAATTTTTTAATCAAAATAGATATATAAACAACAAATCTCATCAATAATAATAATAATAATCTGCGAAAAATACAGATTTTCACTCGAAAATGGTTAGTGGTGCTATTATTTTTTCGGCATTTTTACGACTTTTTTGAGCATTTTTATATAAAAACGATTAATATTTTTGGGATAATTCTTGCTTGTTGCGATTATTAATTGTTTTCTGCTTATATACAAGCTGTATGTACTTGATAGAATTTCGATTTTTGCTATTATTCACCCCACACTCCTTGCCTATAATTTGTAAAAAGCGTATTTCAAAAACTAGAGACATGAGCTTTGGCACATGCATAGGGTGACTATCTGGGCCGGAGCCCATTCCGGGACCGTCCACAACTACCAATCAAAACAATAGAATCGAAACAATAGAAAACCGGGACAATTTCGTGTCAGGGTGGAACACCAGGACATTACCTCCAAAAGCAGGACATGTCCCGGAATTCCAGGACGGATGGTCACCCTACACATGCACGCATTTTAATGATACAATCACAATATAAAAGTTTCATGAAGAGAGTACATCCACAAAAAAAGAATTATTAAAATATCAGTATCAATTCCACTTCGTGAACAGGTGAAATACAGATTACAGACAGAACATTTGACTTATCAAGAATAGCAATCCCAATAATGACTCTTACTTCGGGTACAATTGAACCTAAAATTGTGTTTACTTATAGGGTAAAATTGTATTAGCTTAGGTACAATAGTACCCTAAGTACACACATACATATGTACATATATATATTTTGTGGGTACAATTGTACAATATATACATATATGTTTGTATATATATCATATACATATTTATATATTTATGTATATATATCATATACATATGTATGTATTTATGTATGTATGAATATAACAAAGTGTGTTACTTTAGCGGAAGAATTGAGCTGCTTAGGATATATTACATATATGTATGTACATACATACATATGTGTGTAACGCATATTAAACTACTAAGCTATCCCAATGTTATCCGTAAACAATGTGAGTCATGCTTATGATTATTCATTTGTAAAACATGCCTATGTAAATATTTTGATCACGGACAATTGCAAGTGTCACTTTGCACTTTGCGTTTCATATATTATTGTGGGTAAGGATCAATTTTATTAACAAATATCAAAGAACTTAAAACAATAGTAATATAAATTGCTTACACAACTGTAATATCAAACAATCATAGGCACTTAATTGTATTGAAGCAATCAACTTTATAACATTCGACCTTTTCAATTTACTCAGTTCACTATATATATAAATACTTCATAAAAATGAATCGGTAACTGTTAAAAAAAAGGAGTACTTTTAAGTATCGAAAACTATTGAGAATGAGATTATTATTCGATAACTAAACTGTTAAAGCATTAATGCTTTTAACTGCATAAAGGGAAATACGGCAAGATTAAAAAATAAATAAATAAATTTCAGAGCTTGCAAATGAGAGTTGAGCGTTTTTTTCGTTTATTCTCTTCCTCGCATCATATCCAAAAAAAAATTGTGCAGACACGTCTCACTCTGAGCGTCACTCTCTGTTTTCTTTAGCATCTGTTTCGCTCAGACGCAATGCGATGACTCATTCGTGTGACGCTCTCACATGAGTGTCGCGTAAAACTAACACGATTTTCCCTCACGCAAAGCCTCTCAGCAAAAAACACTTTGACTAAAAAACTCAGCAGAAAATGTTTTTGCCTTCGTGTGCATGTAAATACATGCATACATATAAAAAGAACGCAGCAATCGCGCGTGATTACCCATACAAACGCAACTTACCGTTACTTCATTTAACTCAAGCAAACGATCAGTGTTTGACTTGAGGAAACGAAAACAGAAACAACTGTCTCCCTCAGAGCGCGAGTGAGCTAAGCCAGACGCGACAAAAACAGTTTCTGTCTGAGTTTTTTTGACTGTGTCAGTGAAAGACACAGTTATTTGCGAGCTATGATAAATTTAATGTATGTGTGTATGTATGCACACATAAATGCGTAACACAAACCAGAGAACACATAGACCGGACAAGTAGTGTAAAGCGTTTTGCACACTTTTTTCGGGAGTTATCTCCCAGACACTTCGTATTTGCTCTGCTCCTCACATTTTGGGTTCGCGCTACGAAAATATACGAAAGCACAATCATTTCGCTTCATGCGCTCGACCGAGATGGTCGACTGTTGAACAAAAGATCCCTCTGCTCTGAATGTTTCCCTTGCTCTCTCTCTCTCTCTCTCACGATGCTCTCTGCTCTCTCAAAGATGTATATGTATGTGAGCACAAGAAGCAGCTCACAACAATTGAAATTTCTTCGCAGCGAGAACCCATGCCTTCCTTCTGTGTGAAGAGTATACCGAACTTTTCAAAGCGTTTGCCATGCGTTTTCATTATTATTTGTGGGAAGGGTATGAAAGCGTTGGTGCGCATAATGAAAATGTTTTCGCGACGAGCATGCACACACCCACTTACAGTATGCTACATGTACTATGAGCATTTGTATGCCTGTGTGCGAGGCTCTTTCTGCCTATAGCAATTTTAAATCCCAGCATTTGCATTTGTCGATCTTGTGAAGTGCTCACATACATATGTATGTATGTATGTATATAAATGTGTACGCATGAGAGGCGCTGCTCACAGTTATGGGATATAACTTGTAGAAGCACTTGTATGCCTGTGTTCCTTTACATGTGCGTGTGTGTATGTCTGGGAGATGAACATTGGCGTGTGCCTCCCTCAACTTAGAATGGTGTGAACGATTTTGGGTTTTAATTGAAGAGGCGCGCTTATGTTTAAGTACCTGATTTCATTCAATGATCGTGGGTTTGCCTATCACAAAGCAAAGCAAAAACTGTGGAAGCTGTCTGCTGTGCTGTTCGGCAGTCGACAGTTTTTGCTCTAGCTGCGACTGCGGCCAGTGAACGCAATTCGAAGCGCTGCGCTGCTGATCAAGAATTGTTTTTTGCTTTTGCTGCGACTGCGACTGTCGCCAGTTCACGCATCAACAGTTCTAGCATTCTCAAAACTGCCGAAGCTGTCGATTCCCGAAGCGCTGCGCTGCTGATCAAGAAATGTTTTTGCTTTTGCTGCGACTGCGACTGTCGAAAATGCTCGCAGTAACAGTTCAAATAATAACGAAAACGCATGGCAAACGGTTCGAAAAGTTCGGTATACTCTTCACACAGAAGGGAAGGCATGGGTTCTCGCTGCGAAGAAATTTCAATTGTTGTGAGCTGCTGCTTGTGCTCACATGCATACATACATATACATATTTGACAGAGCAGAGAGCATCGTGAGAGAGAGAGAGAGAGCAAGGGAAACAATCAGTGCAGAGGGATCTTTTGTTCAACAGTCGACCATCTCGGTCGAGCGCATGAAGCGAAATGATTGTGCTTTCGTATATTTTCGTAGCCCGAACCCAAAAAGTGAGGGATCTTTTGTTCAATATTTGACCATCTCGGTCGAGCGCATGAAGCGAAATGATTGTGCGTTCGTATATTTTAGTAACCCAAACCTAAAAGTGAGGAGCCGAGCGAATACGAAGTTGTCGGGGGTGTTAACGCTCGAAAAAAAAGTGTGCAAAACGCTTTACACTACGTGTCCGGTCTATGTGTTCTCTGGTTAGTGGTAAAATTCAAATACTAGGGACTTGTGCTTTAACAAATACACGCATATCTATGTTATATTTATAATCTGAAAGTTTCATGAAGATAGTCCATCCACAAGAAAAGTTATTGAACAATTAAATTCCCATAGTAAGCCAACACTGCAGCCAATGCGTGTTTATGCGTGCATGCGTATGCCTGTGTGTGTACGTGTATGTGTGCATATGCGAATAATTATTGAAATATAGTTGCTCGAAGGGTTTAGGGGATCTGGTAGTCGAGCAGTCTCGACTAGAGCTTTCTTACTTGTTATACCCTGAACTCATTTTCTTGATCAGGACGACGATCTGAATCGATTTGGCCCTATCCGTCTGTCTGTCTGTCTGGTCGTCCGTCCGTCTGTCCGTATGTTTGAACGCGTCGATTTCAGAAGATATAAGAGCTAGAGATCAATTTTTTTTTAATGTCCGTATTTACAGCGTGGATATCGAGTTTATCACCAAAAATCGACAACTCATCCCGTCCATTTTTTATAACCTGAACCCATTTTCAATGGGAAATCAGGGTATAATGGGTTTAAATGTATGTAACAGACAGAAGGAGGCGTGGCAGACCCCATAAATTATATATATTCTTGATCAGGGTGACGAGCAAAGTTGATTGGGCCCTGTCCGTCCGTATGTATGAACGCGTCGATCTCAGAAGATATAAGAGCTAGAGACTTGAAACTTTTTCGTAGGTTCGTGTATACCACGCGCATATCGAGTTTTGCTTTAAATATCGGTAACTACTCCCGTTATTTTGTTATCGATTCAAAAATGCTACAGGCAGCCAGAGCTTCACACACAGGCATACAAATGCTCATAGTACATGTAGCAAGGGACAGTGTGTGTGTGCATGTTCGTCGCGAAAGAATTTTCATTATGCGCACCAACGCTTTCATACCCTTCCCACAAATAATAACAAAAACGCAACCATTTCGCATGAGCTTGGCAAACGATTTGAAAAGTTTGGTATACTCTTCACTCAGAAGGGAAGAAACGGGAGTCTAACGCGACGAAATTTCAATTTTCGTGAGCTGCTGCTTGTGCTCACATGCATACATACATACATATATACATAGTTGAGAGAGCAGAGAGCAGAGAGAGAGAGAGAGAGAGAGCAAGAAAAAATTGAGCATAGTGGCTTCTTTTGACTAATATTTGACCATCTCGGTCGAGCGCATGAAGCGAAATGATTATGCTTTCGTATATTTCCGTAGCCCGAACCTTAAAGTGAAGAGCCGATCAAATACGAAGTGGTCTGGGAGATAACTTCCGAAAAAAAGTGTGCAAAACGCTTTACACTACTTGTCCGGTCTATGTGTTCTGTGGTTAGTGTCTCTGGTTAGTGGTTATACTAATTTTGGCACATTTCTTAACCAAATATCGTTACACAATTTAGTATACTTAATGCTAAAATTATGTTCAACTCTTCTACAAAATTAATTAATAAAATTCTGTTGCATCCACAAACGATCAACTGGAAAAAATACCAACCAACTGGGAAAATATGAACAAGATTCGTATTAAAAAAGAGGACTGATATCCGGATAGGGGATGTTTGATATTTTTTCCGATTCACACAATTCTCCGATAAATACAATGAAAGTTTCATCTCTAGAAATAAAAAACCAATATACTCATTTCACTTTCGTGAATGAGTCTAAAAAGTAGACGGAAGTATTTAGTTTCTTTTACCGATAGAAAGTGTCATTACAAATAAATAGTAAGTAAAGCTGTTTAAGTATGGAAGGCGCAAATAGGTTTATAAAAGGATTATTGGGCGATATAAGTAGTCGTTCAACCTACTCACAGCTTTTTATTGGAGTAACTTCAGGATGGTACGTATTAAAATTTTAAAAGCTTTATAATATACATGTACATAAACATACATGTATAAATTGAATGAAAAGCGGATACCAAATTAAAAATATACCCTCTTATTGTACATACATACATATGTACATATTTAACAAATGCAATGAGACAAGAGATGACAACATATAAAATGTTAGAAACTATTTGGGTAAAATATTGAAAACAAGCCCACACAGGAATGAACGAAACAAGCCCACATAAGCACTTTATTCACTTACTGTTTTATTTACGTAATGTCTCATAACCCACTGTTAAAAGTCACAGTAGGTTGCGCAAAGAGCAGTCCCGTTACTTTTAAATTTAACTAGAGCTCGCAAATAACTGTTAACCGTTTCGTGCGGTCGCAATATAAGAGGTTTTCACTCAGACTTTGAGCAAAAAGTCCTATAGCAACCGATTGAGTTCGTATAAGAATTTTGCTCAGCCGACGACAGTTTTTTTTTCGTTCTCTATTGCTCGTCTCGTTCACAGACCGTTTGGTGCTGAGCAACGATGCAAAAAGTCTTTTGCGCATGTATGTGTGTATGTGAAATTCTGTGAGTTGTACGCTTAACTTTTCGTTGTGACTCGAGTAAGCGATTGAGAAAAATGGGACGTGTACTCAATAAAAAAGTGCATCAATTTTTAAACATGATGAAATAATTAGAGAGCGCGACACCGAAGAGGAGAATAAAATTAAAGTAATTTCGATAGTTTAGGTATTTAAGAATATTTTTTTAAAAGGATATTTCAAAATTCGAATTATATCTGAAGTTATTGTCATTTTGGTGACGTAGCACCCAGACCGGTTTGGGCCACTATTGCGGATCGAAAAAATGACGTAAATAAAAATACCGTTTGCGTTGACCTTTTCGGTCTTTTAATAAGTGTCTTTGTGCGAACTTCACTCGTACCTCTCATTGTGCGAGCGTCTCACGAACAGCTCAACTGAATCGGTACTCGACAGAAACCGAAAACAAAAAGAAACGAAGTCTGCTGTTCATGGAGAGAGCGAGTGTGCTTGTTTCGAATATTCTCGCATACAGATTGCCAGGAAAAAAACGCAAATAACTGTTTTGCGACCTATGATTTTAACTAATTGATCTCATGTGAAGTCCCATTTTCAGACTGGGCTCTGTTATCCTAGCTGAAGCTTGGCCGACATTTCAGCAGAAATCCACCAAGTGGTCCAAAACAATCAAAATGAAGTATATACATACATATAAGCAAATTTCAATAGTAAATAGCTTAAAAATGGTCATTCACTAATTTTATTACCATACCATACCATAAAAAAAAACTAAGTATATAATGGAATGAACTGAGAGGCCTCTCGAAAGCTGCAATAACATGGCCAAAATGGCCAATATGCCAGCAGGAATGGTTGATGAACATAGTTAACTTATTCGCCATCAGTATTGTTTATTTATGCCATTTTACCTACACATTCAAATATAGTACACGTTGAAGCTGCATCAATAAAAGTGCTGCTCACGTCTGCTGTCATGTCAGAAACATCCGGTAGAATGAAATTAAATTTGTGTATTAATTGTCAAGTCGAAAACTTAGTATTGAAACCTAAGGAAACAAATAATCAGCCTGAATCAACTCTAAAAACATAGGCAGAAGCTGACAATGCCGCGTATCATCTATGACCATCGGATTTGTAATATAAAGAATGAAATTGGTACGTATAATGGTGCGGATTCTTGATCAGGGCGACAAGCTGAGTCGATTTAGCCCTGTCCGTCCGTCCGTCTGTCCGTATGTTTGAACGCGTCGATCTCAGAAGATATAAGAGCTAGAGACTTGAAATTTTTATACCCTAAACCCATTGAAAATGGGAAATCAGGGTATAATGGTTTTGTGAAAAAGTATGTAACGGGCAGAAGGAGGCGTGGCAGACCCCATAAAGTATATATATTCTTGATCAGCGCGACGAGCTGAGTCGATATGTCTGTCCGTCCGTCCGTATGAGTGCGTCGATCTCAGAAGTTATAAGAGCTAGAGAGCTGAAATTTGGCATGCATACTCGTGTATACCTGTACGAGTTTGCTTTATTTTTTCGATAAATCGCCCGATAACTTTTTTATCGAGAATAATCGAAAAATTGATTTTGTTTTTTTAACCTAATTTGAACATGTTTAGACCTGGAGTCTTCAAATTTGCGTTGTATATAAAGTTAATCGATACAAAGATTTTGTAATTTACAGATTTTGGATACCACGCCCCCTTCTCCACTAATTTGTAATTTCAAGTACTAGAGATTTGTGCTTTGGAATGTTCACACATATTAACCATATGATTACGCTCTGAAAGTTTCATTAAAATCGTATGTCTACAAAAGAAATTATTCAACAAATAAATTCTCATAATATTGCCCACACTGCAGCGCAGCCCAAGCGCAGTCGCTGCTTACTGCGCAGTTAGCAGAGCGCAAGCGTATGCGGATGTGTGGATGCGTGTGTATGTATGTGTGCATAAAAGAAGTGCAGAATGATTAGAATATCAGCTTAGAGGGTTCAGGGTATCTCCTAGTCGAGCAGACACGACTGGAGCCTTACTGGTTTTTCCTAGGTCCGTGTATAGCACGCGCATATCGAGTTTTGCTTTAAATATCTATAAATTGCCCCGTTATTTTGTTATCGATTAAAAACATCGAAAACCAGTAATAAATTTATATCTCCTACATCTTTAAAGCTAGTTTTTTATGTATACCTATATGCATTTTATACAATTTCGGTTTTTGTCAAAATTTACCCCCCACCCCTAATTCACCCCCTCACCCTCACATTTGTAAAAGGCGTATTTCAAATACTAAGGACTTGTGCTTTGACAAATACATGCTAATCCATGTTATAATCATAATCCAAGTTAAAAGTTATTGAACAATTCGGTTCCTATAGTAAGCCACCACTGCAGCCAATGCGTGTTTATGCGTGCGTGCGTATCTCTGTGTGTGTGTGCGTGTGTGTGTGTATGATGTGTGTGTGTATTCGTGTGTGTGTGTGTGTGTGTTGTATAAGCAGAAAGACGCGAAAAATGATTGAAATAGCTATTGCTCGAAAGGTTCAGGGGATCTCGTAGTCGGGCAGTCTTGACTAGAGCTTTCTTAATTGTTAGTTTTACAAATTCAAGCCTTAAATAGTAAGGTTAAATCCATTATATGCAAAAGTAAAAATGGTCAACGGATTACATGATCAATAACTGCTTAGAAAACGACTTAGAGTATAAAAATTAGCAAAAACCTTTATTTTTCCGATTCGTGAATCTATATAGAACATGTGCTTAGCCGCCCAGTTCGTTTTATTTAGTCTACTAGTTTTAAAACAAATAACAGTGTCAAAATGGCTTGATTTTCATACAAAATCCAACGGGCGCCCAGCATTTTCTGAAATAATGACGTCACGCTGTCAAATCAGCTGTTCGCTTTGCATACTCAATTGTGCTCACAAATCACTTTTTTCGTTGGGACCAATAAAACATATTACTGTATATCAATTTACATATGTACATACAAATGTATTAATTTTGTGCACTGTCTGTGGGCGTGGCAAATCGGATCTGAATATACAGCGGCTCACAGCTTATTTCATACAGCGGTATAGTACAATTTTAAAGCCGTGTTCCCGCTAAACCAGTAAAGCTATCCAAAAAACTTAAATGGTCTCTTATTTATCAGTCATTCCTTATGTATTAACTCACTCCATTATTTTTGTGCTCTAAAAAATAACATTTAAAACTAAAGAAAACTAAAATAGCTGGCCTTTTCCATGTCACAGCTCTGTTTTTGATGGGCGCACAACATATTGCATCCAATCCAACGCAAACATATTAAATTTCGACTGATCTGCATATATATGGGTCGGATTGGATGCAATATGTTTTGCGCCCATCAAATACAGAGCTCCAAGATCAGCACATAAAACTAACTATGAGCTATGTTGGTGGCAGTGTCATGGTTGGGCCTGCATGGCTTCTTCGGGAGTTGGAAACTTAGTTTTCATAGATGGTAATCATATTATTAAATATATGTATCTACCCATTTTAAAGGAGAATTCGGCCCAAATTGCCGAAAAATTTGGTCAAGAGGGCCCACGATCTTATCAGGCTAATGACCCAAAACATAAACCGGGTAATGTTAAGTCCTGGAAGATCTGGAAATGTCCAATCCACTAGCTCAGTGGTCATACCTAAATGTTACAGAAAATTTGTGGGCGAAATTTGGCGTGGCCATTCGGAAAAGGTCAATATCCAATCAAAATGAGCTCAAAACTCGATGAAATCACGCTTAACAGAGGTGATTAAACAAAACGGAGGTAACAAAAAATCGTAATTTAAGACTTTTTGGGCAATAATAATAAATAAGCTGTGACACGGAAAAGGCCAGTGATTTTAGTTTACTTTAGTTTTAAATGTTATTTGTTAGAACACAAAAATATTGAAGTGAGTTAATACATAATAAATGACTGATAAATAAGACCCTATTTAAATTTGTTGGACAACTTTACTGGTTTAGCGTGAATACTTTAAAATTAAAATTATACTATACCACTGCACGATTTTTAGACTTTATAGCAAAATTTCAAGTATTTGGAAACGTTTTTTTTAATGATAATAAAAATTAACCAAATATTATTTATATTATAATACATATAAAAAACAAGTAAGAACGTTGCAGTCGGGCGATACCGATTGCAGAAGACTCATTCACAGCCCAAATGCTGTAAACCAGAGTATATATTGCAGCTTTCAAGTCTAGTGCGCAACAAAAAACAGGGCATGATCCCATTAAAATTGGAAAACCATCGATAGCTATTGCTATGATCATTGCATCATTGCATTCAAATTACATACATATATATATAATTTATACAATTTTGATTTTTATACCCTGAACCCATTTTCAATGGAAAATCAGGGTATAATGGTTTTGTTGAAATGTATGTAACAGACCCCACAAAGTGTATATATTCTTGATCAG